TTTCCACAGGAATTTCCTCAACTGTATCAAATCTTCACCCTTCCAACTTGATTTTAATTTTGGGGAATAGAAAAAATCGCACGGAGCTACGTCTGGTGAGTACGGTGGGTGGGGAACAAGTGCCATTTTGTTTTTAGCCAAAAATTCCTGCACAATGTAAGCTGTAAGCGGTCGTGCGTTGTCATGGTGGAGTACCCAGTCGTTCATGCACCACTTCTCTGAACGTTTTCTCCTCATGTCCTCCCTCAAACGTATTAGAACATCGCGATAGAACTCTTTATTGACTGTCTGACCAGGAGGGATGAACTACTTATGAACAGTCCTGTCAATATTGAAAAATATATCAACATGGACTTAATGTTGCTCTTGACTTGTCGAGCTTTTTTTGGCCGAGGTGAGGAAGGGCTCTTTCATTGTGACGATTACTGCTTACTTTCAGGGTCGTAGCCATAAACCCAACTTTTGTCACCAGTGACAACCTTCGAAAGAAAGTTTAGATCCTCTTGAAGCTGTTGTTGATGTTCCCTGCAGACTTCCAAGTGATGCTGCTTCTCTTCATTTTGCAGCAGTCGTGGCACAAACTTCTACGCAACCCTCCTCACGTTCAGTTCCTCTGACAAAATTCATTGACATGTACCATAACTTAGTCCCAAGGTGTTACAGAGGTCTTGGATGGTCATTCTACGATCTTGCAGAATCAGATCCCTAACTTTCACGACATATTCCGGTGTGGTGCCAGTTGACAGCCGCCCCGAACGATCATCATCATCAGTTGATGTTCGGCCATTTTTTAAATTCTTATACCAGTCATATGTTTGTGTCTGACCTAAACTGTTGTCACCAAAAGCCTGTTCAACCTTTGGTGCGTTTCTGCAGCAGTTTTCCCAAGTTTAAAACAAGACTTTATACAGACATGCTGCTCTCTCAGGTCAGCCATCGCAAAACTGCATCATGGAACCACAACAATGGAAATACGTTCACCAACAATAAACCCAACCATGCAACTTGATGCTGCTTGCCATACTGATGCAAGAAGGGTGTGTGCGGAGACACCTAGCGGTATTTCAATGTACTCATAACCATTTGAATGCAAAATTCAAATTTCGGGAACTTTTTGATACCACCACGTATTTCTCTTAATTATATACAAACACTTGTATTTCAACTTCATATCTTCTAGAATGTAAAATCTTAGTAAAACTATTACATGAATGCCTTCTCTTCTGATCAAGCCATTTTCCAAAACATAAATTTGGCATACTCTACTCAAAAACATATCTAATGAGAACTTAACTGATTATCTTAGAAAATGTCAACATTTACACCTAACACATGAACATAATCTAAAAATGTTGAACTTCTTGGCAAAGGATAGAGATCCTGTTCACAGTGCATAAATCACCATGTGAAAAATAAAGGAATTACTGTTAAATATTTTGAACTTCATACAGGAACCTGAAACCCTTCAAGGGGAACCAACGTGCCCACAGATATACAGTTGGAGATCCTTGCCGTGGGACATCATGATCAATGATAAATACAAATATTTTATTAAAAATCTCCCAATAAGATATGTAAATTTACTGGTATTACATGTACTTCTGAAATGAGATTGTTCATTAAAATTATGATTAACTTAAATGCTAGCATTGATAATGCTTGAATATGAACAAAAAAGACAGGAGAAAAGTACTGACTGATATAAGATGAAAGCAAAATTTGAGACATTACTACATACATACTAGTTTTCATTCAAGGTCAGAATAGTTGAACAGGGATGCTCACCACGAGTTTGACTATACTGTTTGAATCTTACCCAATTAATAAATTGTTCTGATTGCAATTATTTATGATTTCCTTACTCCTATCAAGCAAAACCTTGGAAAAGAACACAATAATATTCCACCCAATTCACCAGACTTAATTTCCTTGCATCTCTATAGATGCCATCTGATTGTTATTGTTAAATAACTTATTAATCAATTGTGCAGATGAGAACATGAGGAATTCAACAATCCTGATCCACTTTCCACCAAATTTCCTTCCATCAATACTAGTCTTAGAATTATTCACACTCTCTGTCCCCAGACTCCAATAACTACTGCAGCTTTCCCTGAATAATGCTCTTCAACATTCTGGAAATCAAAAAACCCCATTCTTTGATGTAATTACTATTCTGGCTCAATTATAAAAGCATGCCCTTCTATGTGTTATAAAACACATACATACTGATGTATGTGTATTATCTGATGCATCAAGGAACTTGTTTATGGCACCATGTAAAAAAACGATTCTGGATATGTGTATGCAATATCACTGATTTCATCACAGCTCCGGCCACAGGATGGTGAGAACCGTAACTATGAGAAAAGAGCATTAGAATTCACATTTTAACAGTGCAGTTGATGAATTCTTCAATCATACAATGCCCTACACTTTTGATTGGTGGTACTGGAAGAAACCTTACAATGGTAGTAACTAACCAATCAAGTGGTTATGATGTCTATAGACGTCATATAGTACTGTGTATTGTAGTGGCAATAACGCCTACAGACATCTACAGACAGGCTGGTATTGACAACTACATAATTATAAGGTATTCACAGTATCTGCCACTTGGGTTGAAGCAATGCTTCTGGTGGTATAAACATTTTAGTGATAATTTCATAGTCTGTAAAAAAGACAGCGATTTTGCAGTGATGTTTTGAAAAACTGTTCAGTTCATTCATCCATACTAACCTTGAGCTTGCAAAGGGAGTATAATCTTTAAGCCCACGCGGCAATAAGAAACTCTGTTTATCAATGAGGCATACACAGTGTCACTAGACAGATTTGTCAGCCAACTATTATGATCGTGTTTCATTATAAAAATACCAGGTGCCCGTCAAGAACGTGTATACTGAATGTGAATGACTCATGCATACANATAATTTTACAACAACACATGATTGAGATACTGCTTTTTAAAATGCAGCAAAAATTATAAAATTAAATGACTCAATGACAAATTTAATTGTCCGGAGGAATTTAATGTGCCACTGTGGTAGTTATAAGAACATGGAAAAGAACGACTTGTCTAGTTAATATTAATCTGTCTTATACCACACATCTATGGGTTTTCAACCAACAGTAAATCATTCACTTTTTTAATGCCAGTAATTTTAAATCACTAGGAGTGATTACTGTGTGCAATTCCTTGCATAAAACAACATCTGAATAAACAGCATATGAATTATGACGCAAACAGAATAATGTTCACATCAACAGTAACCTGCTAACAGTTTAAATATTTCAAACTAATCTAACAAATAACACAATCTGCACTTCTTGAATGTGCTGCCATCTCACTTTAAATGTATATAACATGAACAGAACATGTATCTTTCTATGCATTCACTGGACTGTCACTGTGACAACTATTCTGTCATATCTCACTCATTTTCACAGAAACATATTCACTGACCTAGTTCAATTATGAGCAATGTAAATTACTTATTAACTAAAACCTGACTTAAATTATAATAGCAAAAGCCAGTTTCTCACACTAAGAGAAAAACATACACTGAGGATGTTTGGGCTGAGAAAATTTGGACCTAAGAAAGTTGAAGTAAAGGAGAAAAACAAAAATTATATCAGAAGTAAATTATAGAATAACTGTTGACAAAGTCAGTGTGATTCAATTTGTAGATATTTATTGCCTTTACATGTTTCGGTCAGCTGACAATCTTCAGAAGGCATAATATCAACATATTTGGGAACTACTATTACAAAGTTCATAATACATACATAAAAGTTTGATATAAGTTATTAACAATTATTTTCATTAAAATCTTACTGATGTCTAATATTAAAATCTTGAACCAACATGGTCTGTGTCCTTGTGCCTCTTCTGTTAAAACAGAACACTGGGGTATTATTTGGAGCCCTCCTCACAGCTTGTTATGGTTCTGTATCGATGTGATGTATTGCTGTTTCCATTTTGCTGTGTTTTGAGGTACAATGCCTCAATTCTTCCATAATTTAGTTTACTAGTGTGATGGGCCAGAATGAATAAAGTTAAGCTTATATGAGGAGCTTCTCAATTTTTACTCTTCACGAAATATTATTTGGGTGATAAAACCAAGGAGGATGAGGTGGGTACCATTAACAGGGGAGATGAAAAATGCATACCTTTAATATAAAAGAAACAAACACATGTGAGACACAACAGGCATAAATGAGAGGACAATAATTAAACGGATCGTAAAGTAATAAGGCTGTCCAGCAAATCCAACTGGTTCTGAAGAGAGTCAAAATGCAGATTATTGTGAACAAGATAAGAAACCTTCAGTTTCTACAGGAGGCAAGGAACTTCTTGGTCTTGTGAATGACTATATGCTTCACTGGGATTCTGCCCCATAAAATGGGAAAGTGAGTGTATAAGTTTGTACCAGTTAATATAATTCTTAGCCTAGTATTGCTCCTCCATAAGAAGGAAAATGCCACAAATATCCACATTGTAATAATCCACCCTACACAGCATCACTAGAATTTGAATCAAACTCCCCCATACGTCTTCATGGCCTAGTGCTTAATTAGTTAAGTACAGGGACAACTTTACCTTTTAATACTGTTACAAACTACAAGCAAAAGTTACAATGTCTCATGACAATTAACCATACAATGAGATTGTTGCTGAAATCTTGATCTTCTGACTTCACGAACTCAGTGTTCTAAATAACGTCCACCTTATGAACGAAAATTTATGCAAGGCAGAAAATATGGAGAACACTTACTTTCTTTACAAAACAAAAACACACCATGCACATCATTTATTATGCTGCAAATAACCCTTAATCAATATGAATTACTTATGCTGATTATTTACCATCAAATGCTTCACAGTATATTCACTGGCTAAGCTAAAATCATACTGTAAAATCTAACCCTACAATACTAATATAAATTCTGGTGACAGCAACATATTAACTTAAAAAAAAATATATACATATCCCACTTACCTTGTAAAAATAGGTAAAAACCATGTTTTTCTATCATCTCCAAAGACTTCTTGGAAATTGTTGTACTTCCCTAAACTAAACCCATCTTTATCTGCACCAGTACGAAATATGGGTGCCCTGAAGGCCTCTGAAAAAGATTATGATATAGTGTTAAAGCCTTATAATTTCAAATAACTGTAGCTTCCATAATCCGAATCACAGACAAAACTCTGCAATAACAAGGTTGATGGTCAAGCATCAGATAAAATGCTGATTACTGTACATAATACTGGTAGAATAATGTCTGCAGGAGAAAACAACCACCATATATCCCACAAGAGACCAAATCTTGACCTTCACTGCAAGAAGCCACTGTATAACTTGCCTAATGCATGGCCTCGTCCTAATATCAACAGGGTATTCTTTTTCAAAATAATGACATATTAGTAGGAACACTTCTGGACAGCATTATATTTCAATTACAAATTATGAAAGCTGCTTATACTTATTCAATTCAATTCAATCAATTCAATTCTTTATTATTAATGTGCCGAGTCAACAGCCGCAAGGCCAATTACAGACTCAGCACAGTGTAGATGACTGAATTACATTATATACAAACTTATTAAAAGTCAAATACAAATTACAGTTAAATAACTGGAAGAAATAATAATGAATAAAAGTAAAAGTAAACAAACAAATAAGTGATAATTATAACAGTAATAATAATTCCATTATCATTAAACTAAGTGCTATTACGAATAGAGGAATGAAACATTAATATTTAATTATCTGAAGTATACTAGTAAAAAATTGAGTAAAGATAATTAATAAATGACATGAATTAAGACAATTTGCTGATGACCAGATTTTGTACCACTGAAATTTTTAGACAGATCTTTCTTTCATTGTCTTATGTTTAAGTCCTCCTATGCTAACATTCTGCCTACAACTTCTGCAAGTTCTTGTCCCATTCCCACTACTACCCTCTACCATAGTTTCCTTAAAAATGAACATGCCCATATTGTTTACTACCCACAGAAAACCAAGCCTCACAATACAGGCTTTTTGAGCTAAGATTAAGTGTTCTATGTGGATCAAATTTAATTCTGCAATTCAGCTTACATGGATATACAAAAGTACTATTAAGTACTTAGGGGTGTGCGGTAGGGTAGTTGGTTGAGGCACTATGCTACAAGACAGAAGCTTGCAGGATTTTATTCCGACGAGGTGGATTTTTTATCAATTGACCTAACCCCTCCAGCCGCACTATGGCCCTGGGGTCGACTCAGCCTCTAACAAAAATGAGTACCAGGAATATTCTTGGGGGTAAAGGACAGTCGGCGCGTAAGGCTGACAACCTCACTGCCATCTGTGAGCCGACTGTCTAGAAAATGTTGGAGCCTCAACATCTCACAACCTTATGGGCCTCCACGGCCTGTTACAGGGATATCTTTACTCACTTTTACTATTAAGTAATGTATTTCAGGATTAAATGAAAAAATAGACTCATATAATCCAATTAAGACAAAACATATTTTACATGAAGAAACTGCGCAAAACGTTCTACTTTGATAAAAAAGGTCCCAGAAAGAACTCTTACTTCATAGTATTTTTGTTTACATCATTTTATTTTAAAGTTTAATTTTCTTGCTTTAAAAACGCAGTAACCTAAACAATATCTCTTATAAAATAAGGAAATATTATGTTTATGCATTTATTTGCATGTTTTAAATTATTCCATTTTCATTATTACTAGACTGGCATCCTTTGCTGGAGAAGTATTGATTTTTTTGACATGAGAAGATCATTAACTAAGACTGGTCATAAGTAAGCCATGTGCAGCACTGTTCTTTTCTTAAATTACTATTCAATTTTTCTTTTACTTCCCAGTACAACAAAGTAAGGCATGTAGATCATCAGAGCATTCTCTTACACGTCTAAAGCAATCTGAAACAATTCAGCACAAAACTTCAAGAACCTACATTGAATAATGCTAATTTCGTTACGAAACTAGTGTCAAGAAATTGGGGGGGGGGGCGAAATCCAAGTTCTTTTTGTGTCTTCTAATGGCACATCCATTCCAAGTTTCATAACAAGAAGGCAGTTAGTGATGACAATATTAATGTTTGAACTTTAAACAGACAGACAAATGTGGCACTATATCAGGACCTCAGTATTTCAGTTAAGTTTCTCCAGGACACTTGATCTAGAATTACGTAGCTAAACCAAATATTTATACATTATATATAACTTCTATATTTTTAAAGTTGGTTATTTAACGATGCTGTCAGTATTGAAACTATCCAGCACTGAGGTTTCCATTAAGTAAGAAGACAGAGTTTATAAACACCAGACTTGATCTTAACACATCCAGGACCGGAGGGGCCAATTGGCCCTTTTCTGACACGATAAGTTGCAACATGCTATACATCGCTCATCTCCCACCTTCATTGCACGCAACCGCCTGCAGATGCATGATAAGACTCTGGAATGTTTAGTCAGCCATCAGTAACTTGACCTCGATGTTTACTTAACCGACTATAAAGGAAAATGCTTTGCCTTCTTCAAGCTGTGTGTATCAGCCAGTAAGTAGTGGGGAGAACGGTTCAAGGACAAATTCTCCTCTGATGACCTAGCTGACCTGGCTTGTCTGTGAGACGCATAGTAATGGTGACTCAGAGAGCGGCAGTGAAAGGGGAGAACAAAGAATTGTGGCCACAGACTGTAAAACTGACAGTAGCTTCGACGATAATGCAGGTAATAACATTGCGGGGACAGCAAAAAATCTAAAAAAAATCTAAAACCTCATTCAAAATTGAAATACAAAGCATTTCTGATGAATGTGGCAAAGGCTTGGGCTACAGACCAGATGGTGGCGAAAGTATCAGATTCAGACAGACTTAGTGCAGCCTAGCCCATCAAATCACACCCCACACAGGCCTCATGTCGACACCCCTGGGTGACTCTCGGGTGATATGCGGAAACATACCCTCGTGAAAACTGTGAGGAGTGAACATTCCAAGGGGAAGCATTCTTCTAGGCAATGCCATGTTTGCACAGTTCAAAAAAAAAGGACTATGACTGTCTACATTTGCAAGTGTGTAACGCCACTTCATAAAGAAGAGTGTTTCCAGAAATATCACACACTTAAGCACTTCTAGCAGCATTGGTAAGTGTTCTCCAAATATTTCAGTTCATAAAATTAATTAGGAGATTTTATTTTAATTTTTAAAGTGAACAGTGCACAAGTTAGGGTAGTAGGTATAAAAATGTTGGTCCCCAGGGTGATTTAAATATTTAAATCGCCGGTCCGCAAAGTGTTAAAAGTGACACCTGTGTGGTACTTTCCCACCTTACTAAACATAACATCACATATATCTGATATATGTACAAGTTATGTACAACATGGAATTGATGTACTTAGGTGATCAGGGAGTCTGCTTAGTGAACAAAGGCTGTTGGCTTCAGCCCTGCCTGGATAAAAATATTTTATCTGCTAAAATTTAAATGTAAATGTTTGTGAACAGGCCAAGCTATAAGATTAAATTCAAGCAGCAAACTATGAACTGAAGAATCTGATTTTAAAGGAACTGATTTCATACAACATTATTAAAATTATTTTTCAGTTCACTGTTAAATGCCACTGCCATTAAATCAAATATATGAACATGTTCAAATATAACTGTAAGTATGAAACAATAAGTTAAGGTATGTTACCTAATGTTGACCTATTTCGGAGTACAAGATAACAATGGTAGCAGAACAGAGAGACAAGACTAACTGCAAACATGACTGCAACGAAGAACAGAAAAAGAATGTGGAAGCGACCAATCCCTTGCAGGTCACCCTGAAATTAAGAAAAAAAAAATGAGTTAGCACCTTTTAATATAAAAGCCATCTGATACTGTCACGTGTATGAGTGACTACATACCAGGTTTGGGTTGGTAAATGGATTTACCGAACGCTTACAGATTATAACTACAACTATAGCACTATCAATAATTCACACACTCAGCAATTCACTACAAAATGCACTATGTCTTCGCATCTGCTGTGACTTCACCAGTCATTGTCTGGTAACAGCTTCCAATGCCATAGATCCCCAAACTTCCATCTTCACATCCTTACTGGTGACAAGTAAGATATAGGGGGGGAAAGAAAACGTAAATCTATCCCTGAAACAGGTCATGGAGGCCCATTGGGCTGTGAGACATCAAGGTTCCCACATTTTTTAGGTAGTCGGCTCACATATGGTGGTCAAATTGCCTGCCTTACATGCCGGCAGCCCTTTAGCCCAAGGAAGATTTTTGGTACTCAGTTCTGTTAGAGGCTGAGTCAATCCAAGGGCCCTATTGTAGCTGAAAGGATTAGGTCAACTGAAAAATCCAATTATGTCATTGGGAATTGAACCCATGACCTTCCAGCTTGTAGCATAATGCCTCAACCAACTACGCTACCATGTACCCCCACTCAGACAGGTAAACTACTGAAATACAGCTTGGAAATCAATAAAAACCAAGTCATGAACTAAGCAAATAAGCATATTTCCTCTCACAACATATAAATCTGGTAATTTTATCAATCAGCATCATTACTTTTAATTACAACTTACCTTCCAAAAACTTATGAAATATGACAGTGTTGTAAATGCTATGAAGAGGCAGTACAGGAGAGCATATCCCAGAAACAGAACGAAGAATTTATAATTTGTAAATGCTACACAATTGTTGACCCAAGGGCAATGATGGTCCATTTTGAGAACACATTCTCCACACACACTGCAATGATGTGCTCGGTCTGGTTTAACATGCTGACATTTTTCACAGTATCGAATTGCTAGAACAAGCCACATTCAACAGGATCACATATGACAAATGTAACTCTCATTAGACAGTCTCTGCAAGTGACACAAACACTGTCAACAAGCATTTTCTACTTTATGAATACTTACAACTTATGTTACACAGAGGGTGTGTTTCATTTTTTAACTACCCTGATAAGGTGACAACCCTGATTCAAGTATTACCAAAAGGCAAGTAGGATAAAGCTAGAGCTCAGTTTCAACATTCACCTTATCTCTTAAGGGCCTTACACACAAATGAGGACAACAAAAAGGACTGCCAAAACCACTACAAAGTTACATAAACTACAACTTTACAAAATCATAGTTGGCAGTCTTTGAAGTTGCACAATTCAGGAGCCAGAATTAATTTCTGTAACTAGTCCAGTCAGTTCACGACAGCAAACTTGATAACAAGTACATATCTTTTTCATATGAGGCTTGGTTTCGTTTGAAGCGACATCATATACAAAGTGAAAGACAACAGGGCACAGAAAACCAAAATTTTATATATGAAATTTCACTCCACGATGTAAAAGCTGGTGTCAGGTGAATAACTGGCCCTGTCTTTTATGCAGAAAATTAATTGTGATAGATATGACTAGTCACTCTGACTAACTGGCCCTCTTGTTTTATGCAGAAACTTTATTTTCATAGATATGTTAGACAGATATCGAAGCCCTTATCAGGTTACTGACAGCTGAAATGCACATTTCCAATAGGATTCTACCGCTGCGCATACTGCAAAATATTCCTTGGAAACCATGAACACAGTGTTGTAAGTTATGGTTTATGGTCACACTGTTTTCCCCAAATTAATCCACATGATTCCTTCCTGTAAAGATATTTAAAAGATAGGACAACTTTCCAACCACCTCCACTTCACAAATATGGGTGTTTTTAATGTCAGGTTTCTTTTTCCTCTCCTTGTTCCTACTGGTTATCTCTGGGCTTCTAAACAGACCTATACCTAACCATGTTTTCTACGTACAGCTCACTTAGCTTGCTACTTCTTGCTTGTTTAACATATCTTCAGCCCTAAAAATGGAGGTAGTACATTCCTCTCAAATGTCACTGACTTCTATACAGTAACACATCCCACAAGACGTGCTTTTCTTAATAAGCTTCATGAAAAGTATATATCATCTGAAATGTTTTTCGAAGTGCAGACACACGAACATGACACCACAAGATTATCATTCTCATTGGCAACCTATCAGAAAGTAAAGTAAAGCTATCCCTGCAACAGGCCGTGACAGCCAAAAGGGTTGTGAGACGTCAAGGCTCCCACATTTTCTCTAGACAATCGGTTAACAGATGGCAGTGAGGTTGTCAGCCTTATGTGCCAGCCAGCTATTAGACCCTGCAAAAATTTATCAGACTACAAACAAATGAAATATAGCTGAGACAATTTCCTAGCTATACAACTGCACTGTGAACACAATTGTATGCAGTCTCACAACTTCTGAAAATATTTAGTAACAAAGTTTTATAAATGTCAAAATGGTGGCTGCTGAGTTTTAACCTACAGCGGAGCATCCTATACCCAGAAAGGTCAAGAAACAAACCATTCTGGATAGATGATTTTGAATACCAGCAGTTCGCTAGATGGACCAGAAGAGATGTTAAAAAATTACAAGAAAATACAAGATAATCTATATAACACATAATGTCACAGCAAAAGAAAGCGGACTACATGTGTATGGTAAATGTTCACAACTGCCAGTAGTCATTTTCACCAGAAACCAAGTCATGAACTGTGCTACTGGTGGCAGTTGTAGGATCATTTTTGGTCCTGGTGATGGCAGTAACCGCTGTGGTCAGTGCTTTCTTAAGCATATCCTTAAGGTGGTGTCATGTATTTGATCTTCTCATGTATGACCTATTTCTGGATGCAATAAAGGATCACAATTTGTTATTGAGCAGGACTTTTTGAAGGTAAAATCATATCTAAAGGTGCTCCAATGTAACTATTTTCAGCTTCTTGAGACTTGCTTAGTGTATCTGTAATGCCATTACTGAACGACAAGAAATGACTGAACAGCAAACCAGGCACTCTAATTTTGATATATTTGAAATCTTACATAAACAGAACTCTTGATCATTACCTATATCTTTTTTAAACAGTTCCACAATCATACAACAGACATCTGACACTAAAAGTATACATGCTGAGCTCTCCCACTCACCTCCAGTGACAGTACGATTTGTAATTGGAAGATCCTGTGCAAATCGCTCTAAAATCTGCCTCTGAGCCTCTTCATTCTCAGCTTGCTCGAACTTCTCCAATTCTGCTTTCGGCATTTTGAACTGTCACAAATTATATATATGCAAAAATTATTCATTTGAATCCCACCAATGATCACACATATCAATCCACAATTTGATTTGTCTGAAGTTTCCTTCTCAGGTGGCATTACATTTTTGCTCATATTTTACTCACATCAACAGTAAAAAAGGTAAAGGTATCCCTGTAACAGGCAGTGGAGGCCCATAGGGTTGTGAGATGTTGAGGTTCCCACATTTTCTAGACAACTGGCTCACACATGGCAGTAACGCTGTCAGCCTTACATGCTGGCCGCCCTTTACCCCCAAGAACATTCCAGGAATATTCCTGGTACTCATTTCTGTTAGAGGCTGAGTCAACCCCAGGGCCATAGTGCAGCTGAAAGGATTATGTAAATTGAAAAAAAAAATCCAATGACCTCCTCAGGATTCGATCCCACGACCTTCCAGCTTGTGGCATAGAGCCTCAACCAACTACGCTACCACGTGCCCCTCTCACATCAACAGTAACATTACAAATTAAACTGTCCTCTTCCACAAGCTCTCTTTTCCCATGCTGCATACAAGCTGCTCACTATTATCCTATTCCCTCTGTGATCATCTTAATTTGACTGTATGTTCAACAGATGGTTAATAACTAAAATCATTAATTAATAATTTATATATAATATTGCTTAATTACGCCCATAATCAATGATTCCTCTATGCCCCAGTGTAAATATTTGCATAACAGCACACACAAAGAAGTTCAGAGCTTCCAAAATGATATTTTACATTAGCAAATGGTTTCAGTCACTGATATAACAAACTCCACACTTTTTAAAATGGTTTGTGTTTTAAAAATGTGAATGTGGACTGAAAAAGGTTTCTTCACAATGACAAGGTATGTTAAATTAAGACAGTGGGACATATTAGACCATAGATAAAAATTGGAATGATAAGAAAATGCTTCCCAGTCATACAATACCATGAAGGAAACATCTATTAAAAACCATAACTGATGAAAATTCATAACTTCTTCATTTATTACAGAAGTAATTTTCTCAATGGCAGAAAAGTAATAAAATTTCAAGATTCATTCTTGATTTATGAAGACAACAAAATGATACATAGGCACATTCTGTCAAACAATCACAAATTTCATGTTTCTATGAACAAAGCAGTCTTCTGGCATGTGGCACCATGAAATATTGTGTTAACGGAAGTTTTAGAGGAATGTATTGCCTCCATCTTTAGGGTGGATGTTAGCGCCTGCTCACGCTGGTTCCTCACTCGCAGATTTTCTTCTACCCTGAAGACTGAGGAGATACGTTCCTCCGAAATGTTGATTATCACAATATCTACATCCCAGAAGACTGTTTTCTTCATAGTCACCACCGTGAAAACCTCAAATCTTACACTTCATGCTTCTAAATTACCTTCCTCTGAAGAAATATGCTAAACCACAACTTAAAAACAAATATGAACTGAAAATGAGACTTCTGACAAGCCCTTTACTCCCACAGAGATAACCTGAACACCATTAACTGCAACAATGGAAGATCCACAAATTCTAAGGTTTTATATTACAACCTTGTCGGATGACAGTTATTTTGTACATTTCCTGTTCTACATTATTTTATTACACAACATGCCAATGAAAGTACAGAAGCATCAATAGGAATGGGAAAAACACCAGACACAGTGAAATAATTATAAGTAATTCAGAAAATTACTTACCTTCACAGGAACTCTGCCAATTTCTGTGAAAATTGTTTGCCAATATGCCCACATAAAAACTGCAAACAGGATGTGATATCCTATGAGGTACAGAACTGCAAAAAATGTAAGATAAGATAAGTATGACCTGAAAATACATCACAAGCCACTTCCCCTCTAAATGCAGAGTTCACTCTGGACAGAGCTGACATAATCTTGTGCCAAACACTGTACTATATGTGACAGCTAAAGTGATGAAGATGTTATCATCTTTTCTGTGGCTACTGTCCTGAAGGAAAAATTCAGGATTCTTGAGGCAGTAAAGAAAGCTTCTCCTTTGTTATCTACAGTCATATAAAAGCATGACACATTCATTGCTAAAACTGAAAATATTCTCAATGTCTGGGTGCATGAACAAATCTCGTGCCACATGCCCTTAAGCTTCAGGAAGTTTGAGGCCACGCCTTCAAGTCTGAAGACCTCACAAGGAATCTGTCATTTCAGGAGTAAGATTGTAAAACTTGAGTAAAAAACATATTAGTATACAATCAGCTTATGCTATGAGAGTTCAGATTGTAGGCCGGTGTTACAAATAATGTTGCACAAATCATTTCCTGAACAATTAAATTAAACACTGTTGCTCCAATTCCCATGTATTGTCTTATGGTTCCTTGGCACGACACCTTAATAGGTACGCCAAGTCACGGTGTCATTAGGACAGGTTATACAGCTTGCCGAAACCAGAATCTCATGCTCTAATTAACATGCATTGCTCATAGTTTCATGACTCTGAAGTTCACATCCAAAAATGTAACACTAAACGAAGCTGTAAGACAGGAGAAGTAAATATTCATGAACTGCCTCACTAAGTTCTTGAGAAACATACTATTGCTATCTCATACACTGCTGCTGCCACTTACTCTTAGTTACATACTTACTCATGGAGCTGAGCCCTTCTGGAGGAGCTGCTAATTCTGCAGCTACTCAAGAATTTCCCAGCATTTTACGGAACCCAAAGGTTCATTACCGTGTTCACAAGAGCCCTCCACTGGTCCCTATCCTGAGCCATATCAATCCAATCAATACCATCCCATCCTATCTCTTTAAGATACATTTTAATATTGCCCACCCACCTACACCTTGGTCTTCCCAGTGGTCTCTTTCCTTCTGGCGTTCTCACCAATATCCTATATGCATTCATCTCCCCCATTCATGCTACATGCCCTGCCCACCTCATCCTCCTTGACTTGATCATTCTAATTATACTTGGAGAAGAGTACAAGTTATGAAGCTCTTCATTATGCAGTTTTCTCCAACCTCCTGTCACTTCATCTCTCTTCAGTCCAAATATTCAGCTCAACACCCTGTTCTCAAACACACTCAGTCTATATTCCCCCCTTAATGTCAGAGACCAAGTTTCACACCCATACAGAACCACAGGCAAAATTATAGTCTTGTATATTCTAATTGTTATGTTTTTCGACAGCACAAGAGAAGACAAAAGGTTCTGGACTGAATGGTAGCAAGCATTACCCAAGTTCAATCTCCTCTTAATTTCCTCCTGAATCAGGTTTCGATCTGTTATCATCAGGGCCCGGATTTTGATGACATGTCACCTTTTTTCCCCCTTGTATCCTATGTGATGCTCTTAAATATATAAATCTCGGATATGAGCTGCTGGTTACAGAAATGTAAATTTTATAGGTAATTTTTTGTCATTTTTTTTACATTTTTAGGTTTAAGGTCATTTTTTCATTTGGGGGGTAATTTTTTTATAAATTTTTGGACTTTTAAGGGTATTTCATGTCATTTTTGGCCATTTTAGGGGATTTTTCTTCATATGTTTTCTGAAATGTGAATAACATGGAAGCGAAGTGTTCTTTCTTTTCTCCTTTAGGTCATTTTTCTGGATTTTTTCAGTCATTTTATAGGTCGTTTTTTTTAATATTTTCAGGTCATCAAAATCCGGGCCCTGCATATTACATTTTTGGGTCATATTTTAGGCCATTTTTCTGGATTTTTTGGTCATTTTTTAAATATTTTCAGGTCATCAAAATCTGGGCCCTGGTTATCATTGTTCCCAAATATCTGAATTGTGCCACATTTTCAAAACATCTGTTCTTATCTTTATATTATGATTTTGCACTGCATTTTGGTGATGAGACAGCTACATATACTTAGTTCTCTCAGTGTTTACTTCTAGACCAACCTCTTTACTTGTATCAATTTAAGTTTGTGTGTTATTGGGGATCATCAGTGTGGGTTTCCACATAACAGATCAAATCCTTTTTTTTTGCTGCTGCCACACCTACACAAATACATGTCTCTGAGAAATCACATAAATGCACACATGTTGTTCCAAACCAAAGCACAATTGCATGAAAAATAAACATATCAAATGTATATCACTTTTACTAATTGCAGTTGCATGACTACTGATTTATGTTGCATAGTTAAATATTCAGTTATGCCCCATTTTCTCCTCTTCATACTGTATAAAGTAAGTACAATTTAAAATATAAAAACTGTTTAAACTTTCATAAATTGAAAAATGTAATGCATGATAGCAATAATATGTTCCCTCATGCAGAGTTCTGGAAGTGGGAACTGAAAACAATGTCAAGAATGAGAAAATGCAGACTGATCCTACATAAATAATTCACTGAACATTTAATATATGGTTATATTATTAATTTCTGAACTTTTAATTCTTGTCTTAATCTGAAGCACATGAAAAGAATGTCTGCTGAGAGTATGCATACATAAAAACACAATATACTACAAAAATATGACTTTATGTACAGCTAGGCTCACCAAAAATATGCAACATAACTTGCCTCAGAAAAAGCCTCACTAAATATATCATGCCCCTAAGACATTTATGTCTAAAGTGTACTTGTATGTAAAGTAAAGTAAAAGTAGCAACAGTTCTCAACAGAATGCACAGTGGATTTGGTTGGGTCACTTAAGAGATACGGATTGCAGGGCATGTATAGGCCTTAGTTATAGTACTTTACCTTCCCTTTCTTCCATGCAACCAATCCCTTATTTCTTGCAATCCTTCTCAAGACTTTGCCTCATATGAAATCCAGAAACTAGATATAAAAATATGTCCTGTAGATATATGGGACAATAATTTCTAGGTATCTTATGACCCAGGTTACTAAAATATGGGATTATAAATAGCCAAAAATTACCCTCTGATGTATGTCCCCATGCACGCACACACAAGCTCAAACATAAAGGGTCTCAGGGGCATAATATCTAAATTATTAGTGGAATTATTACTATAACATTCTCTGTGAAAGTAAGGTCAAATTCCTTAAAAATTTAACTTAGAGAAATCCTTAATATTCAAGGCATGATTCATGTGACTCCATAACAATCTTTTTAATGTTCCAATATTGTAAACTGGTTGAAAACTTTGGAATATTCCTCAGTAATGTAACAATAAAACAGAACAAAACTTTTTTTTTCTGAGCACATGACTTAACCCTGCATACCTCAAAGCATAATAGACTTGTACTGAGTATTATATGAACAGGGAGAATTACTCACCTCTTTCTACATTGTTTGTCACAGTCACTGAAAAAGAAAGAATGAGAATAATAGACTGAAATTAAAACATTTTTCAACACTTAGAATAACAAATATATAAAATGGTTGGTGCAATTCTCAGGCACAATAATGTATCAACAAAATACAACAGTTGTTGACTGAAACCTCACTGCAGCTTTCTGAGAACATAACCCTCTTTGCGGTCTGTTGAATATATATACAGGTAAAAGGTAAGGCTATCCTTGTAACAGGCTGTACAGGTTGTGTGATGTCGAGGCTCCCATACTTTCTCTAGACAATCTGCTCACAGATGGTGGTAAGGTTGCCAGCCTTACATGCCAGCCACCCTTCACCCCCATGAAGATTCCTGATACTCATTTCTGTCAGAAGCTGAGTCGACCCTAGGGCCACAGTGCGGCTGGATTAAGTAAACTGAAAAAATCCACCTCATTGGGACTCAAACCCATGACCTTCCGGCTTGTAGCACAGTGTCTCAACCAACTATGCTACCACGTGCCACCTAAACATACAGGTGTCATCAGCAAAGAGACCTAGATAGACACCAAGTGTTTGGGGAGTATCATTTATCTATATACAACGGTTGGATAAAAAGTAGTGGCAACACTGCTGTAACATGAAAGACGTGCATCAGGTGGCACTAGCGCCGTCTGTAACTGACAGCAGAAGTTCAGTTGAAGTAGTGCAGTGAGTAGCTCTGGTTGTATTTCATTGAGTTGCATTGTGCATCATCTTAAAGTGCAGGAGCCCAGTTCAAGCGGCCTAAGAACATGAAGAACAGCTACTGCTCTCCGCAGCTATTCACTGCTCTGAAGATGGAGGCGCTACGTTCCTCCGAAACGTCGGCCAAAACGAAGAATACACGGTGCCTAAACCCAGAAGACAACTTTCTTCATTGTCATCGCCGTGAAAACCTCAAAACTTACACGGCCTAAGAACATGTTTACGAAACAAGAACAACGCTCCTGGTTAAAAATTGAAGTTTCACAAGGTTATAGTGCACTAAACTGTTATCAGGGACTGCAAAAAGCATGTGGTGATGCTGCTTTGCCATATCGCACAGTGGCACAATGAGTGAAATTGTTCTGTGAAGGAAGGGATGCCATTCAGGACAGCCGTCGTTCAGGACGACCCCATGTTGACAACCACACAATTCAGCTTCTTGCTTCTTTGCTGGATGTCGATCGTCGACGGACTGCATGGGAGTCAGCTGCTGAGGTAGGCGTATGTCACATAACCGTGCTCCACATTCCGCACAATATTCTTGAATACGGCAAAACTGCAGTGCATTGGATACCCAATACAATGTTTGAGGTGCAACAATGGCAACGTTATGCAATTGCACAGGACTTGTTGGACCGGTACCAGAAGGAACGTGACGACTTCCTTGGAAGGATCGTCACTCTGGACGAAACTTGGGCTCACTCATACAGACCGCACTTGAAGTGACAATCAAATGAATGGAAGCATCCTGGCTCTCCTCGTCCAAAGAAAGTGTGCCCTACACAGAGTAATGTGATGGCAATGTTCATTGAGGCATATGACACTGATGGAGTGATACTGCACCACGCTGTACCTCAAAATAGACAGTAAACGCTGCCTACTACTGCAATTTCCTGTGTAATCATCTTCATCCAGTACTCAGGAGAAAGCAATGACACTTGTTGGCAACGAACCACATCATCCTTCATGACAATGCAAGGGCTCATACTGCTGACACTGTAAAGGATCTCCTTTGTCACTGGCGATGGGAGATACTGCAACATCCACCATACTCACCCTATATGAGTCCGTGCGATTATGAAATCTTTGCCAAAATGAAAGAACCACTGCAATGGTTACGTTACAACACAAGATAAGAGGTTATGTGTGCTTTAAGGTGGTCACTGCTGGACATCAACAGAAGTGGATGCACTGATGGTGTACGATACCTTTCACAAATTTGGCAGAAAGTGGTACACATGGGGGGGGGCAATTATATTGAAGGAATGTAAGTGTGTTTACCTCAGGTAATAAAGTCATTTCAGAACTATAGAGGCATTGCCACTACTTTTTATCCAACCTATGTATATATACGTAGGTCGTACCGAAAGTCTTGAGCAACTTTTTTTGCATGCAACCTGGGAATAGCAGATGAAAGAGAGTATGGTGGTAGGTGGAACCAGCTGTTGTGTTAACCTTGAGTGTTTTGTGACATCAATAGCTTGCATCATGTGACCGGTATCACTCCTAACAAAATGGCCAACAACGATGTCATTTCGCAAGTGTGCTGTCATTGAATTTCTTGTGAAAGAGGAAATCCCGGCTGCAGAAATTCACCAGAGACTTCAGCGTGCTTATGGAAGTGTGTGCATGGGTGCGAGCAGTATTTGAAGATGGGTGCAACACTTTAAAGATGGGAACACCAGCATCGAAGATGAGCCTTGGCGCGGTCGTCCTCGAACAGCCTCAACCGAACGCAATAAAGAAAGAGTGGATGAGATCATTCAAGATGACAGGCGTGTGACTGTGGACACAAGAGCCCGAAAACTTGGAATAGGGCACAGTGCAGTACATGAGATGATTGAAAGCTTGGGCTATATAGGAAAGTTTGTGCTCGTTGGGTCCCGCGGTTATTGACCGAAGACCACAAAGGTCAGCGAAAAGCCATCACCTCAGAACTGCTGCAGAGATATCGACACGAAGGCGATGATTTTTTGCTCTGTATTGTGACAGGTGACGAAAGCTGGTTTCACCATTTCGAGCCTGAAACGAAACGGCAGAGTATGGAATGGCACCATTTGCATTCTCCATCAAAAAAGAAGGCAAAGGCAGTGACATCACCTGCGAAGGTGATGGATACAGTGTTCTGGGAGGCAGAGGGGTTTATTCTGGCCGAATTCCTGGAACCTGGGCAAACCATCAATGCTGCTTGTTATGTCCAGACGCTGCACAAGCTCCATCGTGCATTGCGCGATAAACGTCTGGGACGAAACATCATCATCCTACATGACAACGCTCGCTTCCACGCCCCTTGCCTCATTGGAAGCAATTGCAAAGATGGGGTGGGAAGTTCTTCCACACCCCTCCTATAGCCCTGATCTGGCACCCTCCGCCTACCATCTTTTCGGATTTGTGAAGAATTAGCTGTGTGGACAAGTTTTGAGACAAGGGAGGCAATTCAGAAAGCAGTGCATCAGAGTCTTCGGATGGCTGGAACAGAATTTTCAAACTCCCAGAACACTGGCAGAAATGTGTACAAAGAAGTGGCGATTATGTGGAAAAATAAAGAAAGGTCTGTACATTGAGGTGGTGTATTTGGTTTGTCAATAATAAAGCATGTTACTTTACAAAAAATTGTTGCTCATGACTTTCAGTACGATCCTCTAGTACACTGTGGGGGAAAAGGGCAGAACCTTGTGGCAACCCTGCTTGTATATCCCTTTGTGTAGACATTTCACCTTTGACCAAGACTTTGACTTTTCTCTGAAAAAGAAAAAAGCTAATAAGTTTGATTAAACTGACAGAAAATTTTAATTCAGGTAATTTATATAGTAAGCCAAGGTGCCATGTCATATCAAGGGCTGCTGACATAGTGGAGTATTGACGCTCAGCTCAATGCCACACATTGGGCTCTAACAGCAGTAGTTCTTCACAGGGCCACTGACTGCTGCAGGCAGGCAGGATACTATTCAGACCACAAGACAGTTTGCCCTTAAAAATTATTACTTATTAAAGAGTGAAATGGTGGATACACTCGCATTAAGCCTGCTAGTAATCTTAACTGGTGAATCAGTTTTAATGATAAAGTTACTCTTTAACTATTTGTACATTTCAATTGCTTTGCTAACTCGACTCTGTTAAGCAAAGTAACTTTGACTGGTGCCAAAAGTGTTTAAGTTTTATAATTTAGAACTAGACAGAGTGACGCAGGGTTGCATCTGTACAATTCAAAGGTTAAAACTAGAGTATTCCCTTGCAACTGAACTCGCCTGGGATAAAGGTATCCTCAGAGATCCAACCTCTGGACAAGTTTCATCCTTCAAACATTCCTCATTGGCTTAGTTCAAAATCAAGAAGGTTTCCTAAATTTATGTCTCCCAATCATCTGTATGCGTTTAGCAACTTTGACCCTCAAATTCTAAACAGCATCTTTAACAGCACTCTGATCTACAATTGTCGTAACGTGGGTTTCGAGCACGCTTTCTGCTGAATTGTTACACTCAAGAAATGTCATGAATAACATTTCCTAAGGCAACACTGACAGCGCTGAATATGCGAATTTTCAGGAAATGGGCATATGGTGCATCTTGTGCTCTATCAGCACAAATGGGCCAATGGCGCTTTATCAGGGCAAGAATAAGACCATCTCCCTATAGATTACGTTATTAATCAGCTATCATTAACCTTCATACATCATTTGTTCAGATTATTACAGCATGTGCCCAATTTATGAAAATATAGAATCCCCACCTATATCACTCAAAGGGATGGACCTGCTGTAACACAAAAACTCCGTAAGTGATTAATGGTAGCTATAACATCATTATCTGGGGCGAAGTCTCAATTCCTGCCACACTGTTGCCGAAAACATAAACACTTCCGGCTCCCAATTTTAAACAAATTTTCATAATATGAATTCTAAAACATGCTCCCTTCAACAAGAACTATTTTCGTTGCAACTAAGCAGACCGAAATAGAGACGTCAATATGCTACTGATGTAAAAAACTTGGAATAAATAATTTGCAAAATCTACACATCAGACGCACTATTAAACACTTAAATTATAACTCATACGAATGAACCATACAAAAAGTCTGTACTTACGTGAGCATAACTGAATCACATAAGCATAGTAAGACCATATTATAATAGTCACAATAAATATCACTGGAATCCATTTTACAGCATTGACACACCATGCACATGGTCCTCTTGGTCTTCTGCTTCCCTCGGAACACGAAGCCATTATTACCGATAACTGGAAAACGTCATTTCTTCCATCAACAACTTTCCTACCTCAATCACCTTCCCATGATTTCACTAATGACTAATCCTAACCACGGATTACTAACGTAACATATTTGCAACCACAGATTATTGTTCACGGACGAGAGCAGATTACTACATAACTACGGGACAGGACTGTGCTGTTGTGTGATGTCCTACATAGATGAAAACGTTCCGCAGATGAGCATGTACAGTACATCTGATGGAAGAAGGGACGGCTGGACTCGGTACCACGACCACTTGAACTATTAATTCAGATTTCAAAGTGACATTAATTTTCATCGTTTTGGAACTGATGGATTACCCACATATATGCAAGCTTACACGACATATTTAAAGGATTCACATCTTATTGTCGATTATTTGTAAATCAGTGCCATCTTACACGTGATTCCTGCTCACAGTATGTAAAAATGTTCAGAGATTAATAAAAATCGACAATGCTACCGTGTTAAGTTCACTCCTGCCCTCTGCACCCGATGGTTGAGTAACTGTCGTTTGGCTGAATTGTGAGCTTGCATACCATTAATTTAGTAGGCTGAAAATGTAATCAATTTTTACATAATTAGTACATATCATTACTACCTTCTCTACGCACGTTCATTGTGGAAATCACGGATTACTAAGTGAATATACAATTTTTTTTTTAACTTTCTCTGCCCCCTCTGCCACCTAGTGTTGCCTTCACAAATTCGTTATCTTCGTTATTCGCCTTGGTGGGCTTGGTGGGTGTGTCTTAATCGGTCCTAATAGTCGTCATCGGTCATCGTCGGCTCAGCAGGTAGCAGCTGTTAGGCAGTGACATTGTCATAGGTGTTTGGTGTGTTCTTGCCTGCCCCATCATTTTAGTTTTTATGAGGTACGTAAAATGTGACGTAGTTATCACAATATACATATGCATTTTAATGGCCTAACAGCAAGCACAGAATGTTATGTAGGAGGCAGTTTCGAAAGTAAAGGGGCTACGCCCTCTTTAACACTATTTTAGTTTATTTAGCCAGTGTAGATTTCTATAAAAGTTCGACAAGCACCGACAGTTTTTTTTCAATAAAAAGCCCCATCTTTGATAACATTCACATTTTCTGTGGCACAGGCTGATAGTACTCTCTCTCTCTCTCACATACAGACATACATATAGGGTTCCCAGAGCTGAGTCGCCTTAATATCTGTCACATTTCTTATGTAAAGGTAAAGTTGTCTGTGCTTAACTAATTAAGCACTACGCCATGTAAGCATATGGGGGAGTGGATGTATAGATGCACATTTTCTTGACCTCAGCACTAGCTGGAGGTGAGAGGTCAGTTTCATGCCCTTGCCACTTTATCCCTGGGGAAAGAGCCTCCGGTACCCATTGGATAGTAGGTTGGGTGGACCCCTGAGCCAGTGGTGATGACATGAAGAAGTGGCATTTCTTACCCCCACTGGAACTCGAACTCTGACTCCTTGGTCGTGCAGCCTGTAGCCAGTTGCTATACTGACTATATTTAGTATTTAGTAAATATATGAGTAGCTTCAGGTTGCAAGAAAACCTGACATACTGACATACAAAAAAGGGAATTGCGTAGTGTTCTGGAATATTTAGTACACTGAGATTTATTTTTCTGGGATGTCATCTTAAATATCTGCCTTAATATTATTTCATGGCTGTTATACTTACTATCCTTCACATGTTCATGAGAATAGAAGGATGAATTGTGTAGTTAAATGACAGATTTAAACCAGTTTTCTTTTGAACTGCTTTATTTTGTAATGAACGTTGTTATAAGCCTAGTAGGCCAGGGGTGGACGTTTTTATTTGGTGAGCCACAGCAGCATGGATAAACTCTACAGGGCACACATCTGTAACAGTGTCAAGTCATAAATGTTTAATTCCTGTCTCCCATTCATATATGGAGAAAACAAAGTTAATATGAATTTAAGAAATGTTTTTTCTTAACTTTATTTTACATTAATTATAAATTATATCAGGTTATGTATAAATACATTTTACTGCAAACCAGTCTGAAAGTGTTGCAGGGCCATATCAGGCCTCATTGTTAATTCAGCCTGTTTTCCAAATTTGTGAAGGCGTATTGTGATGTAACAGTACGAACTTCAATGTTTTAAGGTACAACAATTGTGCATGTGGCTTTGCAAATCCTAATGTTTTATGAAAATTCAAAGCATATAAAAGTTATAAAAGAAAAATGGCCAGTATAGTCCCCTGCAGAGCACTGCAGATATGTATTTTGCAAAATGATCTTACCATATCTGTCTACATATATACCCGCAAGATTGTTTATGAATTGTTCAACCAATTTTCATGAAAATTTGTCTTGTAAGCAGTAACATAATTATTAAGGGAAATTAGGCAAGACTAGAGAAAAGTGTTGTTAACAGGAGTCCTTAAGTCAAAGAAGTGTTTGATCAAATTGAGGGACATAAGATGGGTTGGTCATGTGCTGTGCATGCTGGAGATGATGAAAAATGCACGTAAAATCTTCATAGGAAAATCTGAAGGAAAGAGACTACTTGGAAGACCTAGATGTAGATGGTAGGAATATATTAAAATGGATTTTGAAGAACTGGGATGGGAGTGTGTGGACTGAATTCAGGATAGGGACCTGTGTGGACTCTTTTGGGGTTTCATGAAAGGGAGGAATTTATTGACCAGCTGAGCAAGTAAGGCAATACCTTGCATAGTCCTACTTCGACCAGTCCAGATTCACTATAGTCCAGTTTGAAAATTTCAAAGCAAAACTAAATTTTAATTGAGCAAAATAAAAATAAATTCTAAAAAATACTACACAAAATTATTTTAATACATAAATAATCGGTTTTTTCCCCTTGATACAGTGTAGTATCTTTTTGTGCGGTTTATTTCTATGTGGTTTTAAAGTTATGCGATACGATACATATTTCAATTTTTTCTGGGGTTCCCCATTGTGTGTGTATGTACCTATGCTCGGGTCGTTCGTTCTTGAGCTCTGACAGCTATCGCTGGAGGAGGTGGGGAGAGCACTACTTTAATGGAATTTTGGAAGAGCTACAACATCAGAAACATTATCAGAAATATAGGCGAAGCATGGCATGACTTAACGACAAGCAATATGAGGCAGTATGGAAACATACAAGTATCATACCACGTTGTGCAAATGATTTCATTGGTTTTGAAACTCATTTTGCTGAAGTCACTAATAACAGTGGAAATTGGACAGCAAGTTGGTTTCAATGAGTTAGATTCTGTCAACGTAATTGAGTGCATCAAATCGAACACTAATGAACTAGATAATGAAACACTTATTAACATTGATGAACAACGGGCTTACGAAGAACGGGAGGACAAATTAGACAACGACGACTGTGTTGAAGTACCTGCATGAGAATTAACAGCTGAACAACTATAAAAAATTATTGGAATAGTTTAAACCTTGTCAGAACATATTATGGAAATTGATCCCAATATTGAATGTAGCCTTACAATTCGCCGAACGATAAACAGTGCAATTCGTTGCTACAAAGAAATGTATGAAGTGAAAAGGCCAAAGAAGAAAAATGTGCAGACATCAATATTGCAATTCTTAGAGAATAAAAAATGAATTGCAAAAAACATTATTTTTTTTAATTATTTCTAATAAAGACATTTGAATTTATTAATCACGTTTTATTTATTGAAAAACCAAGATTTTTTTTTGAACCAATTATCATTTTTTGTATGTATTTAGTTCCTCGATTAGTCCAGTTTCAAGCAGTCCGGGATATTGGCGGAACTGATTACCCAGACTATGTGAGGTATTGCTGTATTAGCTTGTTAAGGACTTGGTTTCATAGAGTTAATTGAAAGATGAGTGAGTGTATGACTAGTTGCAGTATTTTAACATACCATGATGCCACTGTTATCTCCTTCACTGTGCCTGTCATAACTTCAGGCTTTTATGACTCATCTGAAGACTATGATTCACATGATTGTGAATTAGAGTTATTCTGAATCACACCTGAACAGAAGACAGTGTTCTTCATGGCAGCAAGGCAGAAATAGTCTGCACCAGCCACAAGTGCTTATCATGACATAGTATTTGTTCTACTAGAGTATTTTGTTGATGTTTCATTTCACTTTTATATCACTGTGTTTGGCAGGCCATGCCATAACCGAAGTTACACTGGCTTTTTACTGTAGAGCTTTAGGTTCAGTCTTGGATGACTGCAAAAGAGATTCATGATGGACAGAGTAGCACTGAAGCAAGTTTTTCTGTAAATGTTTCTTCGATTTCCCCTGCTATTCATCAGCCCACCATTGCACCTTATATTCATCTATCAATGACCCCATAGATGTGTGAGAGCCCTGACCAGGCAACACATTACCATACCTTTCAGTTTTAAAGTTCGGATCTTCATCTCTGACCTGGCACTTGGTTGCAATGTGAAGAAACTATTTTAGCATGTTTAATCACAGTTCTTGTCTTTATGTTTTAGGTTGTGTGATTGCAGATCACTATGAGCTCTCAACAATACTACCCATTCAAGGTACTTTTTATTCATGATTAGAATATTTGGTTTCATTGATTCATTATTGTTGTATCCTGTAGATCAAAATACATTGATAGAGGACATGTCCATCCATATTGTTATTGAAATACATGAGTGACTATGGTACAAACTTATTAGAAATATAACTTAGTCTATATATCTGCTTATCAGTAGCCAGTATTACAGAATTCCTCATTCAGATAATCATAAATTGTAATTGTATACAGGTAGCAGTATTATATGATATTATATTGCATTTTAAATTAAAACTGACAGGTTTGAATTACTTCACTTTCAGTGTACTCCTACTGTGTATCCTGCAGAGCCTTTTGACGCTAATGCTGATGCGGCAACCCTCCGGAAGGCTATGAAAGGATTTGGTACAGATGAGCAAGCCATTATTGATGTTTTGTCTAAAAGAGGAATAGTGCAAAGGCTGGAAATTTCAGATGCCTTCAAAACTCTGTATGGAAAGGTAGAGTTGAACCAAGGTTATACTTCATTTGTGCAAACAATGCTCTTTTTTTGTGTAAAATGTGAACCTCAGAAATACTGACATATATAAACAACATAAAATAACATAACCTTGAACACTTTGCATGAGATTCTTAATTTTTTTATGAAAGAGGTATCTGTATGACCTGCTTTTGCATACTACCGGGATAATGAAAGTCTTGTGTGTAAAAATTAGCATCAGAGTATTATTACATTTAGAGCTAATTTTCACTGTTATTCTGCATATTTCATAGAAGCAGGGAAGTACATCAAATAATGAAGACCAACATGGCACAAATGTGAACTGAAAATCTGTCCAACATAATGTACCTGTTCAGGCTTTTCTAGGCACTCTTTGCATACACGTTTTAATGAGTGTAAAAATGATTTGGCATTTCAGATTTAGTTAAAATTCTTCTGCCCCAACTGAATTATGGCCTCCTTCAGGTTTGTGGACTGTGAACTTTCAGGAAAGATTTGTAACATAAATTTAAAGCATTAATTTCATATCCTCAAACATTTAAAGTTATATTTGTCACTGAAATTGGTGCAGTGCTCAAAGGTGTATCTAATTGGTTTATTCTGGACTGATATTATGTTGAATGAATACAAAATTACAATTTTAATTTTATAGGACCTTGTCAAAGAACTTAAAAGTGAACTTGGAGGAAAATTTGAAGATGTAATTGTAGCACTCATGACACCACTGCCCCAGTTCTATGCAAAGGAACTTCATGATGCAGTCAGTGGAGCTGGAACAGATGAAGAGGCCATCATTGAGATACTGTGCACACTCAGCAACTATGGTATTCGCACGATATCAGCATTTTATGAAAAGTGTGAGTAATGTTCAACTTGTCTAATGAAAGCCTGAGTTCACATCTTGGATGCCACTGTACCATTGAATTGACAGGCACCAGCCTGTCTGCATTCAGGGTGGNGGGGGGGGGGTGCATTTGCAAGTGTTAGCATGTGCACTGAACATACCTAATCCCCTCCCTTTGTCCAATCAAGATGTATTTTAATGTGCCAGCAGGGGACCTTTCACCTTATCATAGTTCAGCTGGACCACTGCTGGGGTTATTTAAGAAACTTTGTAGTGTGTGCACCCAAAGAAAAATTGTGTGTGTAGGAGCAGAGTTTCAAAAGAACCTATCCCAAAATTAATTCAGGTCACCTTGGGTTCACTTATAAATATTGAGTGCTTGTTTGTGTGAAACTGCATATAAAGTTTAAAAGCCTTAATTTTTTTTGTCATTAACATATTTGATAGCGAGTGTTGTTTGTGTCATACAACAAGGGGAAGGGGGAGGTATATTAACCAGACCCTAATATCATACCTACATCCACAAATCACAACATTCCATTACCCACTATGCAATCCATATACAAAGTCCAATTTAACCCTGAATCCAAGACATAATTCATTGAGACCACTGGGTGAAGGGAGCACCAACAGCCAACCTATCTTCAATGGTGCCAACTAAAACTGCAAGTACGTACCCATCAGTACGATGTAACTGTGGACAGTTATTAAGTCACCGATATATTAATATAACATAGTTGTTCAGGAAGCATGGCTTACTTATCAAAATAGACAGACCTTGGTCTTTCATAGGATTAATTAACAGTACCAAGGATGAAATTTTTTATCCCAATAATCTAATATTGCTCACAGCCCAAGAATGATGTAAATCTCAACATAATTTTTGGGGTGGGAGGCCAGTTACCAAAATTTTCAATGGGCATGTAGTTATAACCATATCGGACTCTCCTACTTTTGTCACTGTGAATGTCTTAAATCTTGCATATTTTTGCTAGGTCAGTTAACACAATTTTGAAAATACATCATTTTTCTACACAGTTACCCTGCTTTTCAACACATTTTTCCCAGCATCCTACCCACTTATAAATGTCATCATAATAGAAAGGCTACACATGTAGCCAGTGTTCATTACATCCTTGTCACATTGAAATCTTTTCCCTCCTAGAGTTTTGTAAGCGGTCCAGAAAGGTGAAAATCAGATGATGCCAAATCTGGACTGTGAGCTGGATAGTTCATGACTTCGCACTTCAATTTCCTGAGGATTTTCAATGTGTGGGGGCTGCAGTATGGGGAATGGCATTGTTGTGCAACAACAGGATGCCCTCTGACAGTGTCTCTCTTCTTTTAGAGCAGATTGAAGGCTTCAGCCCTCTCTGAATCATTTCACAATAGGTTCCACATCCCAGGTTGGTCTCAAGAATAGGCCCTTGAGAATCCCAGTAGATGATAACATCAACTTGCCTACCGATGGTTGCATCTTGGAATTTCTTTGCAACAGGAGAAGATGGATGCTTCCATTGCATGCTCTTCTGCTTGGTTTCTGGTTGATAGTGGTGAACCCTGGTTTCATCACCTGTGATGATCTGTTGCAGAAAGTCATCACCTTCTCAACAATGAGCCAGGTGGCGGGAACAAATGTCTAAATCACTTCCTAAGATATCCACCTGGTGTACACTTCATGGAACTGAAGATTATCATACACCACAGAATAGGTAGACCCAATGCTGATATCAGTTGTTTTGCAGTTTTGTTGACCATCACTCTTCTGTCTTGAAGAAGCAGTTCCCTAGCTGTTTTTTTCATTCTGTGTGGTTGTGGCTATGGTTGGATGACCTGAGTACTCTGTGTCAGTCACACTCATACGGCCATATTTAAACATTTCAGTCCACTCATACACGACTCTACAGGAGAGAGCATTTTCCCCATACTGAGCACACATGTGCTGATGAATTTGTCCACCTGGTACACATTCTGCCCACAAAAAAATGCATCACAGATCACTGCTCCTCCTTATTCCAAGGTCAACAGGCTTGCCTTGCCAACTAGTCACAAGACACCCCACAATACCCATCCCCACCCTTCCTGCTCTTTCCATTTTCTTCAAAAATATGAAAGTGCAGAAACTTTTAAGATCCTTCGTACAACTTTCACACAACAAATTTCAGGTGACATTTGTTTACTGGTATTTCTATATAAAAGTTGTCCATTTTTAGACTATTTTCTTTATTCTTTGAGGATGTATATGCTGTGGTATGTGTGTGAGTCTGTCCCCAAGTTTACTTTTGCTCTGATGAATAGATTTTCATAAAATTTAGCATGAACATCATGTTATCAGAATCCTTCATACTTAACAGCAAAACACCAGAAAAAAACAGTATTTAGCTTTAGAAATAATCTATGCAAATGAACTATATCACACTGTACCCCACATTTGCTCTCATAATTATCACTCTGAAGGAGTTTGTAAAGTATATGTTTATTGTGTGTTTGATATTTGGAGAAGTAGTTCTTTGATGGAATTTCCATGTTTATCAAGTTTGTCATCATAATCCAAAATTTTGAGGTACTTGATTGTATTTTGAAGTACAGTTTTTTCTTTCAGTGTATGGGAAATCATTAGAGAGTGATTTGAAAGGTGACACCTCTGGCCATTTCAAGAGACTTTTGGTCTCTTTATGCATGGTAAGTAATTCAATTATTAGAAGCCTTGGTTACATAGCCTGAGAATTGTAGAATCATAGGTATATGCATATACTGCTGAAGAGAGAATTCACCAGGAAATATAATGACTAAAGGAGGACGGAACAAGCTTTCATTATCAAGTATAAGAGTGGTATCAGTGTTATTCTTGACCATTGAAAATACTGAGGCAAACAGAAAACATGTTATGAAATTACTGACCCTGTCTTATCTGTTTTGATCTGCACTTTGTATGTGTAAATGAGTGTGGAAATTCTATAGCATTGTATCTTTGCAGGCTAATAGAGATGAAACCCAGACTGTGGACCCATCAGCCGCAAGAGCTGATGTACAAGCATTAATAGCTGCAGGTAAATTGACATTATTGTACTCCGGTATAGTATGTTAGGTCAGATGGCATACCATGTCTGCTGATATGTACATGTTCAAAAGCTTATTGCAAAACATGTAACACCACATTCACTTGCATAAATTTACCTTTTATCTTACTTGATTTCTTATGGTTTGAAATTGTTGGTATGTGAAATAAAGTAAAATGTGTTTACATATGAATAAGTCACTGAAGTTATTCAAGTAATTTGTTAAATAATTACTGTTTCAGGCTCCAATCTTTGTGCTAGAATATAAAATCATAGAAGTTCTTCATATACAACATGATTATGTTTTATTATTGCTGTTGCAAATATGCATAGACAATATCCAAATGAATCCAAGTTTAAAACCTATTCTATTCCTGATTGGTGTTTGGTGTAAAGAACAGTGTTGGAGAAATTGTTTCTTATTTCTTCCTTTACCCTGCCATTCTCTTCATCATATCCTCAGGAGGGTCAAAATTGATATTAAATGACCTCAGTCTATCTCCCGTGTATCTTTGTCTGCTCTCTCCATCATAATCTCAGGAAGGTCAAGATTGGTGTTATATGACTTAACTCTATCTCCTTGATACCTCTGTATGCTCCTATACTTGATGAACACAAGCCACGTTTTCGAGACTTGCAAGAAAAGGCACATAATACATAATTTGATTAAATAATTATGTTGAAAATTTGATCCAATAGATTATGTATATTTTTGGTTTGTTATTTCTGTGTTATATAGCCACAGTGAATATCCAGAAATATAAAGAAATGTGTTTCTGTAATGTATGATTTTAGGGGAGAAAAAACAATGGGGCACAGATGAATCTGTCTTCAATTCTGTGCTAGTGACAAGGAGCTATCAGCAGCTCCGTCAGACGTTCGTGGAGTACGAACAACAGACAGGTCATGATATTGAAGTAGCAATCAAGAAAGAGTTTTCAGGAAGCATTGAAAAGGGATTACTTGCTATAGGTAATTATTGTCACATTGTCCTATGCAACGGTTTGTTCTAGCGTTTCCTTCTGGATTGCAAACATGTGACATTATAATATGTAATTTATTTGATGTCATTACTGAAACTATAAAGCATTGAATGATTGGATTTTAGTGAATAATGAATTTTTAATAATGTAGAGCTAGTTGTCATGGCTTAATTTATGATGCTGACCTGGCATTTGCTTGGAGGGACTGAGGAAACCCACAAACCTCCCTAGGATAGGCATTGTTTCAGCTGATATTCAAACCAAGTATCTCCTGAATACAAGTCAGAAATGTTACCACTTGAGCAAACTTGCTCAGTATATAATATTTAGAGTAACAGTTGTTTCAGAATATATAAAACTATGATTTTCATGTTTTATGTGGGTGTTAAATTGGCCTCTACTTCTGAGAAAAACAATGTAGAGTAGTTTGTATTTGAGAACGATAAGCTCAGAAGAATGTTTGGAGCCAGTCAAGATTTAACGATGAAGGGATTGAGAAACTTGGTTAATAATTTGTATTTTTCATCTGTTTTTAGAGTAATGAAATTGAGAAGTGCAAGATGAATGAGACATATAGTATATTTGGAGAAAAAAAAGTTTGGTTAGAAGACCTCACAAGTCCCGTCATTTAAAGCAGCAGTACTTCATCACTGACATTCATATCTTCTACAGTTGATACAATTTCATGAATTAACTGAAGAATCAAAGAGTATTTTCATATAAACATTTCTTGTCTGCAGTGAAATGTGTTAAGAGCAAAGTTGGATTCTTTGCTGAGCGTCTCCATGACAGCATGGCTGGCGTAGGCACCAAGGACAAAACATTGATCCGCATCATTGTGTCACGCTCTGAGATTGATTTGGGTGATATCAAGAAGGCATTTGAAGAGAAGTATGGGAAGACACTCAACAGTTTTATATCTGTAAGTTGAAACCAGTTATTTCCAAATGATAAATTTTGTTGCAGAAGTCATAAAAGTAAAGTACTTTATTTTAAGTATGAAAAATATATGCAAGAGATTTTATGTGGCAGCAGCTTTTTTGCCATTGGGCTTAAACTATTGTGCCTTTTTATGTGTGTCATATTTACTTCAGGTTTGTACATCTTTTTAGTGCCAGTCCACAGGCTTTGGAAGGTTTCGATTATTGCTTTGGGTGAAATGTGTAGTATAGCAGTAACTGTTAAAAAGTGTGCTCTGTTTTGTTTTATGAGTTCTGTATATCACTAGTTTCCTCATAAAAGTTTAATTTAATTTTTTATATTAGTCATGAGTTAAGAATTAATTTAATGATGTTAAAAAATCTTTCTCAGGGTGACACTTCTGGTGATTACAAGAAGGTTTTGTTGGCACTGGTGAATTAGAAGACTCAGCTGCAAGATGGCAATCACAGTCTACAGATCTGAAGCAGTATATGCTAGTAGTCTTCATTTACAGATAAATATTTTGTAACAGTGCCTAATTTGTTGAACTTCAAGACAGTTCAGGTTTGTGTACATTCTAAAAGACTGGTGCTTCAGCACATCGTTTTTGACTGGCCCAAATTTTTCTCTTTTATATAACCACATCTCATTAATGCAGATATTATGCTCAAATACAAAGTAATGTGCCCTACAGCACTGCAGTACTAGCAGTTAACAAACGTAAAGCTGTTAATACATAAGTATTACATAATTCCTGGAATAGTAGGACACACATATTGAAGGTTTTTACTGTTGCCTTTGTTACATTTTTCCTTCAAGAAACTAGGAAGTAATTAAAAGAGGCTTTAAATAATTCTGTTTCATCTGCAGAGGTCACTGAAGTCCTACACGGTGTGGAGTTGAATGTGGGTATGTGAATTGTGTTTGTAATGTACCTACAGTATGTATGGTATGGCCTTTCAGAGGCAAGGTTGAGGAGAACACAAGGACACTTATAAAGGGCTTCACACTGGATATGTATGGGTCCCAACTGTATTTGATTTTTAATAGATAGTGCACTTCCAGAGCAGTTCTGGGGCCCAACCAGCATCCTATTCAATGGGTATGGGGGGTTGTTTCCCCGGGGGTAAAACAACCGGGGCATGAAGCTCACCACTCACCTCAAACTACTGCCGAGATCAAGAAAACGTGGATCTATACATCCTCTCCCCTATATGCCTTCATGGCGTAGTGCTTAATTAGTTAAGCACAGGGACAACTTTACCTTTACCTTTTGTGGTCTTAATGTTTTCTAAAATTTTCCACCTGTTCCAAATTACATTTTCATATTTTAAATTTCTGTTTTGTGTTTGGGTATTTAATGTTCTCTGAGTATAGATATTCTTGTTTGCTATTGAGAACTTTCTCTAACAATCCATACTCCAAGAATGCATTGAATTGCATGCCTATTAACATACATTATCAAACTGAATTGTGTGTTTCCAAGCCGGACCTACAGTATAGCAGTTAATGAAAAGTGAATAAATAGCTGGACTCACCGTATAAAAATACCAAAATATGATCTGTTGTGAAGATAATATTGACATGCAAGTCATTCACTTGTATTATATTTTATACATATAGGCTTTAATTAATGTAAATTGTAGTTTATGCATTTGATTTTCCTCATTCCATTTGTTTCCATTTTTCTCCTCTTTCTGTATTATAATATCTTGTGAAAACATAGACTGGCCCAAAAGTAGGATCTTTTGATTATTTAATAGTACTTTAAACATGGCATGGAATTACAGGAAAGCTAGTCCTATGGGTGTTCAAACTCATCACTACTTTTGGCAAACTTTCTGGGGATTAACTGTACCATAATTCTGTGTCGTATATAAAGAGATGTTAAGTCAGTCATAAGCGGCATACCTAGTTTTTGGCCATCTGTTTATGTGTGTGTTAAATTAATTTCATTTATACATTATTCTTAAATATATGTAATATTCATTGTGCCTATAGCATGGTTGGTTAGGGAAGTATATCATAATTTTAAGTAGTAAAATTATTTTAACTATTTTCATACATCATTGCAGGTTTCTGTTAAGTTGATTTTCATTACATTTTATTCCAAATACATTATTTGGTAAACAGAAACATGTTATGTGATCTGAATTCTTAAGGTGATCTAAGTTATCTCATTTCAATTGATCTGTAAGCTTTAGACTTCTTATGTCTAAGTTTAAACTTAAATTCATAACGAGTATTTGCTCATAACATTGGCAATCAGGAGAATGAGGGAGGATTTGTAATCTCTATCTGGCAGTGTTGTAACATGGTCATTTTGTGGCCAGTGCAAACACAAGCACAGTGAACTATGTTGTGTATTGCCCTCAGCCATAGAAAATACTGCTAACAATGGAAATGGTAGTGGTGTTACCTACAAACAATACATATATAAAGTTTTCATTACACAACTTTCTCAGTTCTTCACATATTATGTCTTTAACTATATATTTAGGCAGATTTCTGTCACTTGTAACTGATAATGCCAAAATTTTGTTTTTCATTTAAAACACTATTTTCTAATGGTTGACTTGTAGATGACATTCCTATGATATTCCAAAATATATTTAAGTTATCAAGAGCTCATACAGACCACAAAAGTCATATAACTGCTTTTGGCATAATTTGTATGGATTTTAGTGTTCCATGTCCCATATTAATTAATTTTAATTGTATTGGATTTTTATAAAATCCTTCTTGATTTGCAATATACGACAGTCACCTAAGTGAATTTAACATGGAAACTGTAAAAGTTGTGGTAGAGATACTTTAAAGTTTGGTTGGCTGATAAACTGAAACGTTGAAGTTAAGACTTAATAAATTGTATGTTTTATTTTCAATACAGTCTTCATAAACATATATAAATCTGATGTATTTAATTTATGCACTGGTTACATATGTCTTGTTTATGACACTGCAAGCAGGATGTGTATTAATGCCTATATATATGTGGGCCCTATTTTTTTATCAATTTTAGATAACTTCCTTTTATTATGCAAGACTCCTTATTAAATTTTGTACAGTTTTTAAATGATCTACCACCATAAATACTTTTGTAGAATCAGATGCAAATATGCTGTATTGGGTGAAATCTATTTTGAAGAAAAGTTTCGAGTAATTTCTCCTCAATCACAAATGGAATATATATTTACAGGTAGTGTTTTTGCTGTCTGTAATATTTGGGTGAACTGGGTCCTTTTATTGAAGTAGTGCAAGGTGATTTTGGTGCTATTGTATTTACAACCAATGTATACTTGATAACATTTTAAGAAATAGTTTTAAACTGTGCTGTATAAGTGAAGTGAATAAAATATGGCAACAAAGTATGGAAATGTGGTCAGTTTTCTCTGTCTGTTGTAGAAGATATGAAGTTTGTGTGTTGGAAATGGAACTTTTTCATTTTAGTATAGACCAGTGATTACCAAACTGTGTTCCCTAGGATCCTTGAGTTCTGTGAATAAAATGTATCTAGTGGCGGTTCCTGTTCTATTATAAAAGCCAACAAAATTTGGTAAGGTGATAAAATCAAGGAATATGAGATGGAAGGGTATGCATCATGCATGGAGGAAATGAGAAATATATAAAAAAAATTTAATCAGAATCCTGAAGGGAAAGATCCGACTTGAGACTTAAGTGTGCCAATGAAAGTATATTATTTAAAATAAATGTTAAACAAGACTGAGGGTGTGGACTGGACTTATCTGGCTCAGGATAAGGACCAGTGTTGGGTTCTTTGTAACACAGTAATGCCAAGCATGCAGAGTTCCATAGAAAGAGGAATTTCTTGAAGAGTGCTCCACAAAGATGTTAGTCTACAATGATATTGTTTTTGACCATACCATAACTGGTGTTGTTCATTAATCATTTTGTATATTTTCCTTTTGCATAGTGTGAATGTGTCTCCATCTATGCCTCAAAGGCTAGCACTGCAAATGATGCTGGTATATATGTGTTACATTTGAAAATAATTTGGCAAGTATAATAACAAGCATCAATAATCTGACTGATCCAGATTCATGTTCATTTCTCCATATAAAATGTAAATTTATGGCAATCACAAAATGTTTACTTTATAAAATTCAGAAGATACAGAGGTTTAAATGTGGTATTTTATTATCGTTGTCAATAGAGTTATGAAGACAAAATCATATAAACAAAATTTTCTTCATTTGCTTCATACAGAATATTAAAAGACCTTGTATAGACTTCTAATACTGTAATCAGTACACATGAAAATGATGAACTTATAAAAAATTAATGTAAATTGTAGTACCAAAATTTCTCCACGTTATTAAAATAAATTATATTTCTAAAGAAAATTTATCAGATTTCTTTTCAAATTAACAAAGTTTACTTTGTAGAATGCTATATATTTCTACATTTAAAACAAGGTACAGAGAGTACAAATGAAGGAAATCACAAACAGTGATTCAACACAGCCTTCACTGTCAGCACAACCAACACTTATAATTGAGATGTAGAGCAGGACAGAGGTAATCTTAGCCATTGTAATACATTTACAGTGAACTCCACACTTTTGTTTGGAAATACTCCAGTTAGAATTCCTGTGAAGTTGCTGTTCTTTACCATGTCTTCTGTAAGTCTATCAATTCATGGCTATAATAACATATAATTGAAACTTTTTCTCAAAAGTATCAAAGTGTTAATATTATTGTATGTAAATCTTGATATCAGTCATTCAGCAGAAGTGCTTGATTGTCATATTGTTCCATGTGTGACTTGCGCATAGCAGAATTTGTAGGGCTTAGTAATGTGCTGTAAGCTACTGTAGCCCTGCTATGAGATCTGTTCATTAAAAGAAAACTTAAACTAACTTGTACTTCTATACAATCTCCTTTATCATCTTAATTTAGTATTTATTTCTTGCTGTATAAAAATTATGATAGAAACAACAATAATAATACTATTGTATATTTAAAAAGAATCACAAGTTTTTTGGCATGTCAGATATGACAGACATCTTGCATAGCATCATATATTTCTTTTCATCTGTCCCATAGTTATTTGCTTGAAGATGAAGTTAAGATTTATGTAGTTGTTAACTGTAATTTGTGTCAGGTTTTTCCTGCAGATGTGTATATTCCTCCATGCTGGATTTTCCATTAATTGCTTCAGAAGAACAGACTTGAAGTTCAATAGGAGGCAGTGGAGCAGGTGGCAGATCAGGTGGCACCAGTCGCTTTTCTACTAGTTGAAGCCACACCATGGTTATAATCATCATTACTGTGGTAATGCTGAAAGTCCATATGGTACCATAACGAGTATAAATGAAACTGACAAATACTGGCCCCATAAAACGTGACAGACATCCTGCTCCTGTCATTAGCCCCATCCACACACCCTGAAATGCAAAAACATAGTAAATTTACTTTACTTTACTGAACAGTAATTTAGCAGTAATAACTGAAATATGGAGAGAGATGGTATAATGTGAATCAAACATTGCATCTTGCTTAGGCCCCTTAATTCTGTATGCAAACTATGGTGGAAATTGGCCAAAAAATTCCATCAAGACCTGATTATTAGGTACCCACCTAAATTCAGGAGGAAAGGGACCAAGCTGGTTTATATAGCCATATTGCTTCAGACTTGTATTTGGAAGGCTTTGGCTCGAATCTTGGCTTGGAGACGAGATATCCTGACAGGTTTCTCATGGTTTTCTTCAGTCCCACCCGGTTAATTCCAGAATAATACATTAATGAGGCCCAACTGCTTCCAAATCCATTCCAATTGATTATTCTCCAGTCAACTTAACCTAAAATGCTATATAATCTGAGATACTGACAGCTTCATAAAATAAACCATAAAAGAAAGAAATTTCAACTCCTGCCAGAGGTCTAACAAGGATACATTCATCAAATGCTTGTTGACTCAGCTAATCTTTGGCATGGTTCAACAGGCTATAGAGAAAGTCTTCTGCTGTAAATCCTACTGCAGTTACACACATTAGATTCATCCTTGGATCAGACAGCATTTGTAGCTGACCAAGGAAACAAAGACAAAAGAAGTAAATGTACAGTTCTGTCATTTGGCAAGGCTGTTATATGGTATCATTCTGCCCAGCCTTATAATAGTAGGTCTATGCCCTGTTGTGTTAGACTGAATGCATACCAACAATTAGAGGATGAAAGTTGTATAGAAGAACTGACTGCTTTGATATCTGTACTCAAATCATAAATTATCATATTGTGTTTTAATGTTTTAGATATGGATATTATATCTGTGGTTTTAATTCTTTTAAAAGATTGGTAATGTAACAATGAAATTTCTTTGTCTTTTAATAATTTGATTGGCCACACCTGAAGATAGCCTAATGGCTGGAACATGGAGGGTAAATTAATCATGTTAATTAAATTATGTATTGTATTAGGTGGTTGCTTTTTAAATGAAGTGTATAATGGCCATAATAACGTATGTGAAATTGTACATCTTTATCAGTTCTATTTTTTGCCATACAAAGGAACTACATGGCTCTGACCTGGGAAGAATTGTAGATAGTAGTAAAGAAGTTAAGGCAGATAAAACTGATTTCAGACAAAATTTGAAAAAATATCTGTGAGAACTACTGTACATACAATACAAAGGAAGTACAACTTAATATTAGTTCATTATTTATAGCCATTTCACTTTACAGATCTTGCTCAGAACTTCCATTTCTGCTTGGAATAAATAAGGTTTTTCCTTTCCTCTGCATTTATTATTACCATTCATCCATGGCTACTCACCTGTGGCCGGGGTCCAAGTACCTTGGAGAAGATTGTCTGGATAAGTGTTACCCCAATTGGATAACCAATAGCTATAAAGGCATAACCTAGGAGAAACTGAGTTACAGTCATTGCTGGAATGTAGTAACACCACTTCTGAACTGAAGGACAGCCTACAATTTCAGTTTCGTTAACAGCATTGTTTCTGTTGCCATATGTTTCATTCACCTGAGTAACTGAAAATAAATTAGAAATGTGGGTTAAATTCAGAAGGAATAACAATAGTTTAAAAGAAGCAAGGATATCATTTTAATGATGGTACTGTGCTTCTTAAGTATCTTCATGGGAGTGGAACTAAGAGAATCCTCTAATACAGGCAGAGAAACAACCACATGAAAATGGTTTAGAGTACAGCTTCTTCAACATTACATACAAAAGATACTGTTCCATTATGTAAATAATGCATAAGTTCATTCCTATGCTTAATTAAGCTCCATATAAAGAAGTTATTTGGAAGAGTAGAGAATAGATCCACACATTTATAACCTTGGCACTAGATGGAGGTGAGTGGCCTGTTTCACATTCTGGTTACTTTATTTCCAGGAAAGGGCTTCCAATATTCACACCATATGAGACTCCATCTGCCCCAGTATTAATGTGGATATGCCGGCAAAGAGAGAAACCCTTGCCGGGAATTGAATCCCAGTCATTCAACACATAACCAGTCACTATATTTATTTAGCTATCCTACATCATAAATGAAATACAAAAGAAGTAACTACTATAATGTAATAGAGTAAGAAAAATGAGGAAAGGAATGGGAGCTCCAGAGACCTGACACAAGTGAATAGCAGACAAAATCTCTCCTGCTGTAAAGTTTATATACAGACCTAAGGAGAGGATTAAAATATTTTAACTGTGTACTTTAATCCCACCCTACATGAAACTATGAATCTAATATTTGATATTCTCATCCTCTCACTGCCCCTTGATACAGGTACTCCTCCAATTCATATTCTCACTGTAGATATTGTAACTATAGATGGGGTTTGAATTTGAGATTGGATTTATTGACCACTTTAACAAACAACTCGTGATTACATTTAAACATTAGTGATCTCCATATTTTACAAATCACTACAGCACACACTATGTTTTTCAGTCTGCTCTATATTCACCAGTTGTTACCTAGTAACAGCTTCTAACAGTAGAGATTCTTCAGCTTCTGTACTCACTTCTTTGCACAATGGCTCTCAAATGCACCAACCAAGTCTTCTCTTTACAGACTCCCTCACAACTCTCTTAACCAGACTAATTTCCAAACCCATCTCTGTTATAACATCTTGGCATGGACTGTGTAGAAAACACCGTTCATTGTTGTACTCCAATTATTTCCATGGGAACATGTTTGTTTGTGAAGGTTTTACTCAATAATGGCTATATATATCTGCTTATTAAGAATCTGTTGCCTAGCAGCAGCTGTTGTTTCATTATTTCATGGTAATGGGTCTACACGCTACAACATATTATGCTTTCATTTCAACTCCTATAGTCCTCAGCTGACAAGATTTAGAATTAATATGAACCTGTAGGAGTTTCTAAAGTATTGAGCCAATTATGGAACTTGTTTCTTAACTCCCATATTGGTATGTTTAATACCTGACAATGGAGTTCATTTACACATGAAGATTATTTTTCACTGTAATGTTCAGAAAATTAAAAAGGTCATGCCTTACCTTAGCAGTATATCTGTAACATGTACACAGTGTAGCACTACTGATTTGAACAGAAAGTCAGTTAAAACCAGGCCATGTTGAAANATAAAAGGATATATATAAGGATAAAACTGGTTTATTAACTATAACCGGTCTTTAAGACATACCCATGATTTCTTCTGCAATGATGGGTGGCTCACTTCCCCATGGGAAATATAATGCTCCCCCAATTACCATAAACAAGAATCCACCCCACATAAGAACTTTTCTTTCTTGAAACCTGAAATAATAAGAATAATTCCACAATAGAATTTTTACTAAAACACAGTGCCTACAGGACTGTTTCAGTATGTTTCGGTTCTTAATAATTTCTATGCTGAATACTTTTTTATTTGTACCTACATGGAAAAGTAACAATTTCTATTGTTTAAAAATGTAAATGACTGATGATCTGAACTATTATGAAAACTGTATACAGTAAACTCTTGGTTATCTGCACATGGATTAACTGTTTTATGCATTATCCATGGATCTTTTAGTATTCTTTGTTATTGGTTACAGTTTCCCATAAAGTAAGTAAAGCTATCCCTGTAACAGCTGCAGTTCTTTCTTCACTACCAGCACAACCTTGTAGGCAGAAACCTGCAGCATTAAATGTATTATGAGAATCTTACCTCTTGCACAAAGGACCAATCACTACAAATGCTACACAAGCAACCACAGCTCCAACTGACATCAAAATACCCATGTAATACAGTGCGTCAGCCTTTGTCCATGCAAACTGATCCATAGTGAGAGATGTACCCAAACTGAAAAATAATAAATAAAAGAAAATTTTTAATGCCCATAATAAAAATCATGATACAGGTGCATAGCAAGGTACTGCAAAAACAAAAAATCAGTTATTAAAATAATATCAGACACTATTTTGTCTCATTGGTAATATGCAGGATAAGATCACAAAATAAATATGCAACCAATGGTCTAGACTAGCTCTTTCTAACAGTCCTATCTGAGTAGGTTCCTTTCCACTTTACACATTATGATGAAATTGGGTTCAGTTTCCCAAATGTTGTGTATATAATATGTAATTCAGACAATGGACATGTCTTATATAGCATTTATATAATGAACCAACCATTGTCACAAACCTTTAGACAATCAACATAAAACAAATGTAATTAATAAATCTTTTAACATTGTATTAAAATTTCAAATCCTTGGGAATGCCAGTAACAAATCAACAGTTTCTTCCCTGGTGAAGTTAAAAAGAGATGTATTTTGGGAATACTCCATACCATTCAATTCAATTTTTTTGCCATCCTGTCTCCAACCTAAAAACATATTGATTGAATTATACAAGACTCTAATATACCTGTTTAGGGGTATGAAACCATCCTAAGAGAAGAACACAGATGAAAGTTGTTTGAAAACCTGATGAGGAGTACATATGGACTTGAGAGAAAGGAAATACCATGAGAATAAAAAGAACTGCATAATGAGAAACTTCATAATTTATAGGCATCATCAAATATTAGGACAATCAAATCAAGGAGGATGAGGTGAATTGGGCATGTAGAAGGCATGAGAGAAATTGAGAAGGAATACAAGAACTAAATTGAAAAATCTATCGGGAAGAGAACATCTGGAAGGTCTATGCTTTGGTAGGAGGATGACATCAAAATGGATCTTAAAGAAATAGGATCTGAGGGCATGGTCTGCAAGCATCTAGCTCAGGAGAGGGTCCACTCTTGTGTGTCATTCAGGATATGCACAAATAGCCACAATTTTGGGTTTCAGCAAAGGATTTTTAATTTTTCTCTACAGCAGACTAATCAGAAAATAACAAATTCCATAATTTTCTACACATTTTTCCTCTATTCCCCCCAAAGAGAATTATTTATTTTATTTTCTACATTTTTTATCATATAGAGGTATGAGTCAGTTATTGATCTTTTCTGTCCATGTATCTTTTTAAAATGCTTGTATGATATATTAACAGAGCATGGCATTGATCCTATTATGTACCACATAGATTAATTGGGACATTATGGAATTCATTGTTTATTATAACCCTTAGCATACAAGTTTTGCAATCTATGGTAATTTGTTGTGACTACTTTTTTGTTTCATATTTAAGTTGCTAAGAGCAGAGCAGAGATGGTTAACTCTGCTAGATGCACAAGACAAATATGCTCCTGAAAATAATTTGTATGCCTTGAAATATGGTGCTGAACCATCTTTGAAGTGATGTAAACAGTCCGTTCCATTGTAGTGGTAGTGGGAAAAAATTATTGTGAAAGATGACATTTCTAATATTGATTCATTTTCATCTGGCAAGTGACATCAAGAACATCAGCTCTTTGGCTATGTTAAAACACCTAATATTTCAATGCCTTAAGTAAGATCCTTAGTAGTATTGGGATTTGTCTCAGCCTTATAAATTTGTATATCAAGGATATTCAAAACAATAGAGTACATGTTAATTACAGTGAAGCATTTCTGTGGCAAATAAGTATTTACGTTTCAAGGAGAACAAAATTGAACACCAGCACAAAAAAAGCACATATTAGGGTCCAGGTGGAGATGTAATCAGGATGGACCTGCTTCCAGGTTTCTTCTTCTGCAAAAGAGGAATAAATATACTAAAGTTACAAATGTCTCACTAAAACATGGAACATATAATTACAAATCTTTTGGCAGATATCAACCAAAATTGGTCTCTATTACATACATGAATAGAAATACATGTAGTTTTACTTTATTCTGAAGTTAAAGCATTGTGGAAATACATTCATTGCAATTCTGAATTCCTCATTGATTTCATGTTCATTTATTATGAAACAAACCTAACAAAACTAATCAGCAGTAAAAATTCTGCACTGTCAGGGACATGATTTTCTTCTGTATTCATTAAATACAAATACCCACCATAATATTTCAAATTTTGTTTCATACATGAAAAGCCCAGTCTTCTTCTGGTATATGGATGCTTTCTCTGTCAACATCATGAAATACAGTTGCAAAAACTAAAACACTTAAATGAAAATTTTAATTTTGCTTGTATAATTGAAGATAATTGCAAATGGAGATTTGAACTGTATTAAAAAAATCTACCAAGGTATTTTGGCGTTGCTTTAACAGCCNTAGTAAAAATTAATGTGAATTTTCCCTTTCATCTTTTACTGTATACAGAGTGTCCCAGGAGGAATGGACCAAACTTCAGGAGGGTGTTCCTTATGTTAAAGTATGCCAATATAACCCAAAACACCTATGTCCAAAGTTGAACGGTTACGGAGATAATGGCCCAAGGAAAGTGTGGTCTTCTGGCAGTTTCACGCATTGTACCTCTCAGCTGAGAGGCCTTATCTATGTTTGTCCTTGAGTGTGATGATTCACCCTAGCCGTGCTTATGTAGTTGGCTTATATCAGAACGCACAGTCAGCACATTACGTCAGCGCTTGCCAGTCATGTGTCATGTATAGTGCTTGGAAACCCTAAGGACAATTATGACATGGCGAGCGAGTATTTTGTACTTCAATTTTATGGCTTCGTGTCACTCACAAGTTAGTTTGATCTTACGTACATTATTAACATTACAGAATCCACATATTCCTGCCAGTTTTAATGTGTATTTTGTAATCAACAAGTGTGCAACGCCGGTCAAAATTTGACACTTCTCTGGCCATTATCTCTGTAACCGTTCAACTTTGGACATAGGTGTCTTGGGTTATATCGGCATACTTTAACATAAGGAACACCCTCCCGAAGTTTGGTCCATTCCTCCTGGGACACCCTGTATTTCTAGCATAAGATTTTTTCTGAAAAGCTGAAATTTAAAAAAAAGAACACACATATGTTAATGGATGATGAATCAGACAAATACAGCTGCCCTATTATGCATTCACTTTGTACATTTTGTGCAAAAATTTTATAAGCAATTCGGTTTCCACACATTCCATACTTCTTTCTTGTTATACGGACCAGTTAACATGATTTAAATTTCCATAAATAAAGCGAAATAGAAGAGTAATTCATAAAACATGCTATGACAAGAAGCATCTTCCAACCATGCAAAGGTTTATTTACTTGTACTTGTACTGTCCCAGTATTTCATTCATCATCCAAATAATTCCAAGAAGAAGAAACTGAGGTTCTCACAGCAGTGGTTATGAAAAGTTCTATCTTCTCGGATATTACGCCCATGAAGTCTGGCGAAAGTCAAGATGTTTACTTTCACCAGACTACATTGTGTATGTCCATGAAGACAAAACTCTTCAGTTCCACGAAGAGTTTGTTATAAACAGATTCCACATGTGTAAAACAGAGTTTAAACTGGCGATTGGGCTGTCACAATTTGTTACACCTCAAAAGTTCTGGTTGGAATGTTTAAAATAAATAGAAGATTGGAGAATATGTGACATGTGGAAGAGTTTCTACTATAAACTAATAAAAAAAAGCATCAGATAGTTCAGTCAGTATGGAGATGAGTCTATGAGCTGGATAACAATGGTTTGATCTGTGGTAGGGTTGGGGATTTTATTTTTGGCCACCACATCTAGAGTGGTTCTGAGGCCCATCCAGCCTCCAATTGAATGAGTACCAGAGGTTCTTTACCCAAGGGTAAAGCAGCCAGTGTTAAGTATGTAAAGAGCTGCATCTCCACTCCCCCAAATATCTTCAGGACTTGGTGAAAAAGGTAAAAGTAAAGTTGTCCCTGTGCTTAATTAATTGAGCACCATGGCATGAAGACCTATGGGGGAGTGAAGATATAGCTCCACTATTCTTGACTTCAGCCCTAGATGGTGGTGAGTTATCAGTCTCACACCCCAGCAGCTTTAACCCCTCATACCCATTGAACAGGAAGCTATGTGAACAACTGAACCAGTCTTGACTTTACCTTGTATTTATTCACATAAGATCTAGCATTGCTTTCACTTCATATGTTAACATTATTGACATGCAGGTACTATTGATCAGAGAGGGTGATACTACCGACTTTTTAGTATTATAAGAAGAAATATATTTTATTTTGATCCTTGCTCTACTATGTATTTTATTTGTGAAAATTTGTGTTTGAGAAATTACCGTTCTTGCAGTAAAGTGAGACTAAATACATTCTGCATATGAAAGTGAGTAATATGTGAGTAAAAGATAAGAAAATTGTTAGCAACAAATATTAGAAAGTGTAGATGATTAAATAAATAAGTCATATTTTATGTAATTTCGAAAATAACAATAAATAATCCCATTATTAATGGTCAAATAGAATGCAGGCATACCTGCATATTCATGACAAAATGCATTGCTGAGGTGATAATGAATACCAAAATTCGTGAGTAAGTTGATTAACTGTGGTAAATACATATATCTACCGCTTTAATGAATTATTAATGTCTCTTCTCTTGTAACAGTTTCTCTTACATTGTTAACATTACTAAACTTTCTTTTGGGAGGTATGGATACACATAAAACACAAAGAGAAAACTACTAAGATATTACTGGTACAACAGTGAGCTGTGGACTCTTATATAGGCACATGGATTAGATGCTGAGAAGCTGCAAAAAGCTTGCAAGGATGCACCAAGAAAAATGCGCTTCAATTATACTGAACTATTCTCACTATGTTCCCTGCCATACAGTTTATATATGAATTACACTGTTACATTTGCTATACTTATGTGTTTTAAAATAATTAATAACTTACAAAAATTCACGTATTGCATGTATGCTGTACATATACATCTCAACTTACAATATATATGTAGTTTGGAACAATGTACCTGATTCCATTCCATGGAGCATCATTGCTTCCCTAGCTGCAATTCGTCTTTCATGGAAGATAGAAGGCAAGAACAGAATACAATTAAAGACACCTAATAACACATTAATCCATCCAGTTGCAGTGTACATATTGAATGTGAGTATTCCAGGAATAAGTGGTACACCTTTGTCACCTAATGGAGTTACTGCTGCTTGAAGTCCTGCAAATAAATTAAATATGTGATACATTAGGTATTTTACAGGGGTGTAAGGGGTAGGATACATTTCCTATAGTCTCTCATAATCATCAGTCTCATCTTCACATGGCATATCCTGTTTTCACTGAAGACATTGATGTCAAAGTTGCAGAAGGATAACTCTTACATCAGTTCTGGAACAAATGCTGGCATATAGAACCAGAGGTTTAACTGTCTAACAATCTCTGGCTAGCAAATAATTTGTGGGATAATTGCTCTCAAAGTACTGCATAAATAGGAATGAACTAGAAATCTTAAGAGAAGATCTGTGTGAGTAAAAATGTGTTTAATGAGGAGGACTAGGAAATGACTCCTCTCAAATCATAAAAGAAAAAGGAATTATGAATGAGCTACAAATTCCTCAAATAATAGAATTTATGCAAGAGTACAAAGGAACTTGAAAGATTGTGTTGACAGGATGAGCAGCAGTGTGACTTCGCAGGATTCTAGAGAGATTTCAAAATATCAACCAAAAATAAAAAAAATATATAATGGAAGACCTCTGAAACAATGGAAGGATTCTCTTTTGTATATTCATAACAGGTCTCAGTCGGCTTAATATTTAAAATAATGATGATATATATTATATTGGGGTTACATCGTTCACAGTAGTTAAGCAAAAATGAATCCAGGCAGGAAATATGAAATGAGATACATAATCAGAGCCCATATACTATTTTTCTTTTAAATTTTCTTCCTGCAAACCAGACGCTATAAGATTTATGTTAGAACATAAAATTACAATTTGAACTACAGTTTTAACAGGTCTGGAAATGAAATTATTGGAAGAGAAACTTGATATTTTACATCAGTAGTAAACCAATTTGTATAGCCATGATCATCTAAAATACAGGTAAACCTAATTCTATACAAGAAGGATAAGAAAACAGAATAATATTCAGTAGCAGAAATTCCTTTTGTTCCTAATTAAATTTTAATTTTCTACTGTGTAAACCCTGTGCTGAAAGATCTGACCATTACCATTGTCAAGTGTAATCTGTAAATACTCACAGTTGTAATGAACGTAATAAAACAAATTGCACTTCATAAAATGACAGCATATGGTTAGTAAAAATGGTACATTCTGTTGAATAAAGCATTCTTACTATTGAACATTACCTAAAGACTGCAAATATGTATTTATGAAAAAATATTCAAAAATAAAACTTTCACTGATTTTGTGTAACTAGGCCTACAAATCTTTAAAAAAGTTTCAGTGCCTCATCTTAACAATAGTCCTTATAATTATAAAATTCAGTAATAAGGGTTAAAATTGGTTCTGTATTATATCTGTCAATTTGTAATAGCACAGGGTATAATTAATACATAAGCATTTGGAAATGTGGATACATTTTCATTTTGTAGACATTACATTTTAATTGAAATACTAACCAACTAACTAACTTCAAGGAGATGAACCCTTCTTGATAAGCTAACAATTGTGCAGCTACTCAAGAAATTTCCAGTGTTTTGTGGAACCTGGAGGTTCATTGCCATGTTCAAAAGAGCCCTCCACTGTTCCCTTTCTTGAACCAGATCAATCCAGATCCATTTCACCCAATTCTGTCTTTCTAAGATCTATTTTAATTTTATCCATCCACCTATATCTTGGTCTCTCTAGAGGTCTCTTTCCTTCTGGCTTTCCCACCAATTTCCTATACACATTCCTCTGCTCCCCCATTCATGCTACATGACCTGCCAACCTCATCTTCCTTAACTTGATCATTCTAATTATACTTGGCGAAGAGTACAAGTTATGAAGCTCCTCATTATGCAGTTTTCTCCACTCTCCTGTCACTTCATCTTTCCTTGGCCCGAATATTCTCCTCAGCACCCTGTTCTCAATCACCCTCAGTCTGTGTTCCTCTTTTAATATAACTGATATAGCAACATCAGAATTAATCATCCACATTTTTCATATTCAATAGCCCCTGTCATCCATGATGATGAACCAGTGCCTGTAACAGAAATATTAAAACAAATGCTGCATCATCTCACCTGGACCAACAACAAACCCCAGTACCTGTGCCAGAGATACCATAGACACTGCACCAGTTCTCTCCTTGAGTGTTGTGGCTGCAGACAAATAGGAACGGCAAACTGCAATGCTGGCTGAAATAAAATTGATTACTCATTCAAGAAGAGTGGATATCATTCACTTAAAACAACAACTCATAATTATGTTCATTGACTGACTCAATGGAACAGAGCCCTTCTTCAGAAGCCACTAGCCACTCAGCTGGTTTCTATGTTGTGAAATATGCTCACACTCTGTATAAAATACCTTATATAGTCTACCCAATCATTGCATCTGCACAGTGATAAAGTAGGTTGTAATCTTTGCTATAAACTTTATACATTTATCTAACCTATTTTCTTCCCGATTTATGCATATGATGTTGCAGTATTTGTATTTTATCATGAATAAATCTATAATCCTTTAAATTTGAATATAAATTAATGAAACAAACCAAAACAGAATGTAATTGAATCAGATTGTCTCTCTCAGACTTGAACCCTTCTGTGCAAGAGTACCCCATCCTACCCTCTCTTTGTGACAGATGGTAGACTCCACTGGTCACTTTGTTGCAGGGTACAAGGTAATTCTTGGGCATTCACTTAAGTAGCCAGGAAAAGACTTAGGACTTCACAAAGGACTTTCAACATACGTTTGGAGATATAATCGTGAAGCTGTATACTTAGATACGTGTCACTGAACACAATTGAGATATTACGAATACCGGTCTATAACCTAAAGCTATATGTATTTATGAATCAACCACACCAAGGGGGTCAACGTAGTGATAGAGGTCCGAAATTTTCCTTTAGGAAGTACCAGTTCGAATCTTGGCAGGGTTACTGCCTGATTGATGTATTTCATACTTTCCCTAAACACTCAATGCAAATGGCAGAATAGTATCTTCAAACAGGCCATGACCAGATTCTTGAAAGTCATTACCTATTGAACACTCATGATTATTTTCTCGTCTGATGCTATGTAACCTATGATGCAGAAAGCAAGTCATCCACCCTGTCTCATAATTAACAGAGTTATGAGAATAGAATATGCAAAATGTATGTTCTTTAGATCCACTTACTTGGTGGTAGCAGGAACGTGATATGGAAATCATTTATAGCTTGAATAAACCTAGCCAAAAATATTTATGATGTGAAATATACACATAACACAGTTAAGGCAGGAGAAATTTTATAATAAAAGGCCAACAATTTCATCAATATCATGGTGCTTTTTTTAATTTGTGTAATAAGATGCAGCTACTATTTAAATGAGGCTCATTCCCAAGGAAAGTGAATTCATATATGTTCAGTTAGCATAACTGCATTCAAAGCAAGGAACAAAACAGAGTTTTGTAAGTCTTTTACTACACAAAACTTTTATTCAGTAAAATGTACAGTCTTACAGCAACATGCTTTGATAAACAAATTTACATCACTTTAGGCCATTAATATAACCATCTAGAAACGTTTAAAACTAATATCCTCAAATTACCTTATTGTGTATTACAAACAGAAGTCCATTTTGTGAAACCATGCTTAATACAAATATCACTTTATGTCTTACTTCTGCTAATACCTTAAAATGATAAAATCATCTACATGGTATTGTTACTTTCATAAAACCATTCACATATTTCAGTTTCCAAAATATATATTTAAGTATCCCACATAAACTAGATTTAAAAATTATATTTTACAAACAAAATTATCTAAGAGTATTTTAAAATAAGGATGTGTCTGTTTTTTTGGCACCAGATTCTCCATTCCTTTAATTCCCAATACCAAACCTCCAACTTCTGACATCTCTATTACAGCATGTATCAATGTGATATCCAATCACCAATCCAAAGCCTGTCTAGAGTCACACTCTATCATGTGACAATATTTTCAAACAAATTATAACACATTAAAAGAATCAAAAGGTTATAATTCACTGTGATCAGTGAACACTAGTCAAACTGTGGTGATGAGTATATAAGAATCTGGCATAAGATAATTAAACACATTCAAGTACCAGGAGAAAGTAGTTCTACTACAGTCCTACAAATGTCACAGTAAGTCAATATAACATTGTACCCCAATACACAAATCTGAAAATTTCTTCTACTTCAAAGACACTGTAGGCCAGTGTAATGGAACATTTAAGTTGTGTTACATTACTTCAGTGTGTGAAGTTAATGTCAGTATAGAAGACAGTAAATACAAACCTGAGCTTACTCCAACAAAGAATCGAGATCCAAGCATCCAATATTTTCGATAGATGGGAAATATCTCTAGCATTGAATAACAGGCACTGGACAGAGTGAAGACAGTCAAAGAGAACAATAGGGGCAGTCGGATGGAACCCAGACGATTTCCCCACCAGCCAACCAATGGGGAGAAAATCATCTGTCCCAAAGGGTTTGCTCCAACAATATAACCCATGAACTCTTTCCCAGCAGTTGGATCTAGCTGAAACAACAATATGGTGACGTGTACAACAACATCAAAGATAAGTATTTTCAAATATATGGTATAACACAGAGAAACTTTACAGGAATATTAGGATTATTTTGGATTCTATCCATCATCTGGTATATATAAGACAAAACCCACAACGTTTCGGAGACTGGATCTGCCTCCATCCTCAGGTGGTCTAGTGATTGAGACTAGCTCTTTCTAATGGACACAACTGAGTAGGTCTATCCTGCCCCATCCACCTAAGGGTGGAGACAGATCCAGTCTCCGAAACGTTGTGGTTATTTGTCTTATATATACCAGATGATGGTTAGAGTCCAAAATAAGCCTAATAGATCTGTACAGCATACACTATTGTCAGAATCCTTTCAAGTCTGCAAAGAAACTTCCTCATATTAATAATAAATGTTGAATGGAACAAATTACGAACTTCATTATTAGGCAATTAATTTTTCTTCAGCCACCTATCAGCAGACAAGTTGGTTCAACAGTGATGCTTCTGACTTGTATTTTGGAGGTGACTGGTTCAAAGTCAGGAGATCGGTTATCCCAACTGCATTTCTGTGGTTTCCCTTAGTCCCTCAAAGTAAAGGCCGTGACAGTACCACAAATTAGACCATGACTGCTTCCTTCCAAATTCTTTCCAATTTATCAACTATCAGTCATCCTAACATCTGACACTATACAGTATCAATACTGACAGCGTCGTTAAATAAGCAACTAAAAAAACTGTCCGCATGTTACTTCGTTTCTCTCTCGTCCTGCTATTCTCCCCCGTAAACTTTTCTTAGACACTTCCATTTAATAATTTCCTTCAGGATGAGACACCAAATGTCACTCCCATATGGGAAAACAGGTAAAATTGTAGTCCTTTTGGTTTCTAGGTAGGAGTCAAGGGGATAAAAATAATCTAAGACTAAAGGTAGCAAGTATTTTCCGAATTTAATCGTCTCTTGATTCTGTGAACGTAATTTTGATTTGTACCCAAATATTTGGAAAAAAATAACAGATAATTCAAATAAAAATGAATGGCACACAAAGTAAATATACAGTATTCATTAAGAAGAAATATCTTCAAAAGTTTATTCGTTTTCAATAGATTTCTTTCTGCCTTGTTGGACTGCTTCAGTTAAATGTTCCCTTGAACAATAGAAAAGTTGCTCACCTTGTCTAAGTACGGCCAGACTCCAGTCAAAATAATGCTGAAGCCTAGAGACATGAGAAACATGGTGAAGTATATTATACGTATACAGACCACTCTTTCTCTCTTTTCTTGTGGTGTCTCCAAACCTTCAGTTTCTTCAGGTATACACCGCCTGAAAAATAAATGCAAAATATGAGTAAGAGCTAAATGTTTGTAAAGAGGGAGTATTAATAAAGTTATTGACTTTGTGGACAGAATCCATTGCTCTGTATTTTTTTATTTAAAACGACGTTTCAGAGACTGAACTCTGTCTCCGTCCTCAGGTATAAAATTCTGCTTAGCTGGACACATTCCGATAATTGGGACTACCAATATCTATTAGGCCCAACAGACAGGATGGAGGCAGAGACCAGTCTCAGAAACGTTGTTTTAAATAAAGAAGGATGACGAATAATGCCCAAAATATTAATAATTGTGCAAAATACGGGATTCAGTTGTGCATCACAGGCATTCTGTTTCACTTTTGAAAGAACATATTTTGAAATTCTTAACGATCCCTGTCACGAAATATCATGCAGTGACAATTTGCACAGGCATGAACATAAAATTCAATGCAATTCCAATGTCAGCACTAAATGCAGGTTAGTGACCAGTTCTGTCCCCTTATGCCTCCAAATAATGAACTCTAACAATTAGACAGGAAGCGGGCTAGGCTCTAAAGCCGATCTTGATCGTGATGGCGAAGAGAAAATTTCACCCTATACAAGAAATCAAATCCCAGTCCGTCATTTAACTAAGCTACCACGACATTATGGAACACCATACGTATATTGTGAGGGTCATATGATTCACATGAAGTAGCAAAGCGCAGAATAATATGATATTAGGGCAAAACACACTAACACTGAAGTACATGAAACAGAAGGTACAAAACACCACATGAGACCATTTTATGTTTTCTAATTATTTTGTTAATGACTATGGTCATGAACAGAAGATATGTTCATGTACAAGGTCTGACAACAGGACTGCTGTTGTTATGGTCAATACAGATAGTGTACTCCAGAAAATGGATCAAATATAAATTTTTTTTTATCGAAAAATGTCTTTTGGAACATTGAGGCGCCTAAGGTGAAGAGATGCCTTGTCCTGTATTCTCTTTAACGTAGCATTAGAAAAGGTGGTCAGAGACAAAAACGTGACGTCAGAGTGCACTGATTATTTAGTAGGCATAGCTTGCACACTTCGATGATTCAAACAATCACTACAGCGTGACATCCATAGGTAACACACCACAACTCTGACGACAGTGGTCGAAACAAAGAAGTGACACTATTGTATTGTATTGTGACTGTTTTGCAGGTACAGTTCTGTGGATTTGAGGTTCTCACAGCGTGGTTATGAAGAATTATATCGTCTGCGATACAACATTAACATTAATTAATTAATTAATTATTTCGACATGAGCGGATTCAAATTATTATAGTGCTACTAGAATAATCGGTCTCTTTTGGAACCCGATTTTGGGGATCGGCTTGGTAGGAAGGGATGCTCGTCCTATTCCAGTCTCTGCAACAAGGGCAACTGGATACTATGTTTTACGGTTATCAAGTGAAGGAAAGTGAGACGAGCGAGACACAGTCTACACAGAGCAGATGAATACTGTGTACACAATTTCAGGCGGAAAACCCGAATAAATGGGCCCTCTTAGGAGATCTAGTAGTAGATGGGAGAGTATCAAAATTTATTTTAAATAAATAGGATATGAGGATGCTGAGGAGCCTGGATAGCGCGGTCGGTATAGAGACTGTCTACGGCTGGACGGCGAGGGGTCGAAGTTCGAGTCCTGGTAGAGGCAAAATTGTTCTCCTCTCCTCGTCGTCCAGGTCGGTTCTTGGACCTACACAGCCTCCTATCCAATGGATACCGCGGGTTCTTTCCCTGCGGGTAAGGCGGCCAGCACGTGAAGCTGACCAATCACCTCCAGCAAGTGCCGAGGTAAAAAATGAGTGGACCTATGCATCTACTTCCCCATACGTCTTCATGGAGTAGTGATTAATTAAATAAGCACAGGGTCAACTTCATCTTCTATGAGGATGCTGACTGGATTTAACCGGCTCAGGATAAGTTTGAATGGTGGGAACTTCTGAGAGGTGGGAAATTAACTCTTGACCAACTCAGACAATGTCGTATTCCCAAGAATGACTTTGCTCCATGAAGTGAATTGTTATTATTATTATTTTATAATTATATCAGTCTATGTAGATGTTCTGCAGAAAGCGCAACTACTCACACTCCAGGCGCGCTTGCGCACCGTATCTGTAGTTTCGATGGAAATGTACTGAAGCCCGGTCTAAGGCACCGCTTTCACGTTACACTTTCATCATAAAGTAATTACGTTTGCTTATGCTACAAATCAGGTTAATGTAGAGGCAACTCTTTAATTTTGTATTTGGAACAATCCGGTTCCATTGTCTTGCGGATCACCGTCGAGGACTAAGTTTCGCATGGTTAAACTTTGTCTTTCCAGAGTAGATGGTGAATTGAAACAGATTACAACCTCATCCTTCCTAATCCTTTCCCACTCGAAAATCATGATGCTCCTCCTATCTCACTCCATGGAATGGAATGTAACACATCAAGGAACCGAGCTAGTTGGATCAAGCGGTATTCAAGAGGTGACCGGTTCGAATCTCACATTGACTATCTTAACTGAGGTGTTTCGTGATTGTTTTCCGCAACTTCAGGCAGATGCCTGGATAGCACCTCAAATTAACCACATCCTTCCCAATCCACTGTTCATTATCTCCTATTATCACTGAACGCTATATTCTGAATTACTCACGGCGTTGTTAAATAAACAAATAACATACCCAAGGGTCCCTGAATAAACTATGAATAAATAAATCAATCCATAGTTAAAATTCCTCGTCACCAAAATGCAGGGCAAAATCACAACATAAAGATAGCTAACAGAGCCTTTGAAAATGTGGCACAGTTCGAATTTCTGGGAACGACAGTAACAAATCGAAGTTTAATTCAGGAGAAAATTAGGAGGAGACTGAATTCGGGTAATGCTTGCTATCATTCAGTCCAGAACCTTTCGTATTCTCATCTGCTGTCTAAAAACGTAAAAATCAGAATATACAGAACTATAATTTTGTTTTGGGTTTTGTATGGACGTGAAACTTGGTCTCTGACGTTAAGGGAGGAGCACAGACTAAGGGCGTTTGAAAACAGGGTGTTGAGAATATTTGGACAGAAGAGAGATGAACTGACAGGGGTTGGAGAAAACTACATATTGAGGAGCTTCATAACTTGTACTCTTCTCCAAATATAATTAGAATGATCAAGTCAAGGAGGATGAGATCGGCAGGACATGTAGCATGAATAGGGGAGAAGAGGAATGCATATAGAATATTTGTGGGAAATCCAGAGGGAAAGAGACCATTAGGAAGACAAAGCCGCAATTGGGTGGATAATATTAAAATGGGTCTTAAAGAGATAGGATGGGTGGTATGGAACTGACCTGGCTCAGGATAAGGAACAGTTGAGGGCTCTTGTGAACACGGTCATGAACCTACAGGTTCCATGAAATGTTACAAATTTCTTGAATAACTGCACAAGAAGGGCTTAGCTCCATGAAATTAGTTATATAGTTGAACTTCGACTGCCTGATCAGGAAATTTCGTATTACCCTGACTTACGTCAGAGTTAATTCGTCCAAGGTTCATTTTCCCGTCTTCCTGTAATGTGTGGAAACAAAGGTTTATAAAACGTCGTTGTTCAAAAGCCTCTTGTATGTTACATTACAAGAAATTCGTGAACTCCGTTTTCTCCTCCACATTTTTAAACTCATTATTTAATCAATGTAACGGGAACTATCACATAGTTACTTACAAAGGGTGTCAAAAGCACTCAGCGTTCGAATCGTACGTTTATTTTTCCAAATGATTAAACCTTACAGGCCTCACAATTATTATCTGATGTTCATATAACATGCCAGAATTCAAGTATTACATGTAGAGCCGGAATGATTCATCAGTTTCCATTAAGCCTGATATATTTCTCACCATCGCCATGTTGTTAATTTAAATATTCGTAAAGGAAGTTGGCTAATATAATTTCCATATTCTTCTTACATCAATCGCTTCACAAAACTGAAGCGCAAAATACGTTGAATTGTGTCAATCCCTTACGTCCACATAGCCATCATGCTGGTATCAATGACATTGTAGAAAAGAATAAAAGCTGAGTAACTTCCTGTGACGTATTGTTAATAATACAGGTTTTCAGAAAACGTACCCTTGGTAATTATCATATGGACAAAAATAAGTAAATAAGGGGCCAGACAGATACACATGAACAGGAGCGCGCGCGCACACACACGACAGTGTTACCCAGAAGGAAACCGTTCTTTTAGAACCATATAAATTCTTAACATATCTCAAAAATGTAATATTATAGGCCTACACTACTTTCGAAGGTCTCAATTATCTTTATAACTGCTGTTTAGAGACTAATATTAACGACGTTTATGCCTATGAATTTATTTCTCCTCATAAGTTCAGCCCATCAGTTCAGCTCATGGAGCTAAGCCCTTCTTGACGAGAAGCCAAATCTGCAGCTACTCAATAATTACCCAGCATTTTATGGAACCCGAAGGTTCATTATCGTGTTCACAAGAGCCCTCCACTGGTCCCTATGCTGAACCACATCAATCCAGTCCATACCATCCCATTTTGTCTCTCTAAGATCCATTTTAATATTTTCCACCCAACTATGCCTTGGTCTTCCCAGTGGTCTCTTTCCTTGCAGCTTTCCCAGCAGTATCCTATATGCATTCCTCTTCTTCCCATTCGTGCTACATGCCTCGCCCGTCTAATCCTCCTTGGCTTCATCATTCAAATTATACTTGGAGAAAAGTAAAAGTTATGAAGCTTCTCATTATGCAGTTTTCTCCAACCTCCCGTCACTTCATCTCTCTTCTGTCCAAATATTCTCCTCAACACCTTGTTCTCAAACACCCTCAGTCTATGTCCCTCACTTAATACCAGAGACCTAGTTTCGCACTCATATAGAACCACGGGCAAAATTATAGTTTTGTATATTCTAAGTTTTACGATTTTGTACAGCAGATGAGAAGACGAAAGGTTCTGGACTGAATGGTAG